AGACAACAAGGTAAACCAAGTAGGTGAGAGGGTAACCCAGGTACGCGAGGAAGCAAATAAAAATATGAAGACCCTCCAGTCTGAGATGGGTGAACTACGCTCGACAGTAGGGGGACTAGCCGGGAGGGTGTCCCAATTAGAGTCCGATTTGGGACAACTGCGTACTGGGAGAGGGAGCGGACAGGGGACCCGCTAAGGAGCCGCCCCCCCTCCCCGGGCATGTTATATGTGCGATCGCCGAGGGCATCTAGTGAGAGATTGTCCGGAAATCACCCGAGCTAGACAGACGCGGGGGTTAAACTCCAACGCCCCCTAGAGAGCGGACCAACTAGGGGTGCAATCGACGCGGTCCCGATACAAATAGACGATAATGAGAATAATGGCGAGCGAGTGATCTCCACACAGGTTCCAGCAACAACGCCCACAGAAACGGTGACTCCTGGCGACTGGCTACGGGAGCTGGTGGCGGGGATCACGGGGGCCACGTCGCTGGTGGAAGGGGAGGTAAACGGAGTGCGTACCCGAATCCTGCTGGACACGGGGGCGGTGGCCTCGCTCGTGAGTGCAGCGCACTGCAGCGCGATCGGGGTCGACGTGCGTCACCTGCAGGCCCCGGACCGCGCGCTGCACACTGCGAGCGGAGCCGGAATGGGGCTGCTGGGGAGAGCCACCCTAGAGGTCCGTATAGGCAGCCAGGTGTGCACCCAGGAGTTCTACATGTTGAGTGCGTTGTGTCACGAGTGTATCGCAGGTACCGACCTCTTAGAACGGCTGGGACTCAACGTGCAACCCCGCCAGCGATGCGCCACCATGGAGAGCAACGGCGAGCGGATACCGTTCTTGGGACGAGAACCGACGCGCCCCCGCTTCGCACCTGTGGCCGCTATCCTGGCGACGACAGTCACCATCGGCCCGCTCACCGAGATGCTGGTGCCGGTGGCTACATCCCCCACCGACCCCGCGCTCCGACCATCAGGAGAGGTAATGCTAACTCCTCACCCGGAGTTAGCAAAACGGTATGGGATAGTGGGATCCGCCACGTTGGTAAACGCAGATGGGGACCGATTGTTTATGCGGATGTTTAACCCCCACAATACCCCAGCGATACTGCGACGGCGCACCCCGATAGCCACCGTACACCCTCTGCACGCACGCCACTCTAACGACTCGGTGTTCGCACTCTGGGCTGAGGACCCCGGGCGTCCTGAGGGTGACCAGGACCTGGCCTGGCGAGTCGGCCCGACTCCCCGAGCCGAGGTCGTTCCCCTGCTCGACGCGTTACATGTACCATGGGCGGATTTACCTAAGGGAGAGGCCGATCGGCTGCGCGAGTTACTGCGGGAGTATGCCGACGTATTCAGTGAACACGACTCGGACGTGGGTCGGACCGATCTTGTTAAGTACCAAATTGACACCGGTGCAGCCCGACCCATCAAACTCCCTGCGTACCGAGTGGGCGCACCCGAACGCGCCCAAATCAAAGAGGCAGTTGGGGACATGCTTCGCGATAACATAATTCAGCCCTCGGCGAGCCCCTGGTCAGCCCCGGTGGTACTAGTAACAAAAAAGGATGGGTCAACCCGGTTCTGCGTCGATTACCGTAAACTAAATGCAGTCACGCTCGGCGATGCCTTCCCCATACCCCGCATCGACGACACCTTCGACAGTCTCGCAGGAGCGCGGTATTTTTCCACCCTCGATCTGGCGTCCGGTTACTGGCAGGTGGAGATGACGGAGGAGGATCGGCCAAAAACAGCATTCACCACCCCGATGGGCCTGTTTGAGATTCGAGTGTTGCCGTTCGGACTCACTAACGCGCCCGCGACGTTCCAGCGGTTGATGGAGTTGGTGATGCGGGGCTTGCAGTGGGAACAGTGCCTGATTTACTTGGACGATGTGATAGTGTTCAGTAGATCTTTGTCTGAGCATTGGTCCAGGCTTCGAGAGGTGTTCCAGCGACTGCGAGCGGCTCATCTCAAGCTCAAGCCACGTAAGTGTTACATCGCACAACGCGAGGTGGGGTACCTCGGGCATCGCGTCAGCGAGGCAGGCGTGCACACCGATCCGGAAAAGGTACGCGCCGTAGTGGAGTGGCCACGGCCAAGGAATCTGACGGAGATCAGATCATTTTTGGGGCTCGCCACCTATTATCGTCGATTTGTAAAGGGATTCAGCGAGATTGCACGCCCCCTCACCCAACTCACCTCCCCTAAGCACCCCTATCAGTGGACGGGGGCCTGCCAGACGGCCTTCACCACTCTCAAAGACCACCTCACCCACGCCCCCACCCTCGCTTTCCCCGATTTTACCACCGATTTTATTTTGGACACCGACGCCTGCAGCAGCGGGCTGGGCGCGGTGTTGTCACAGGTACAGGATGGGACGGAACGAGTCATCGCGTACGCCAGCCGGACCTTGAGTGGGGCCGAGCTGAACTATTGCGTGACCCGCCAAAAGTTGTACGCCGTGATTTTCGCATGCAAACAGTTCCGGCCGTATTTGTACGGCAGGAGATGTCGCGTACGCACTGACCATTATGCTCTGCAGTTTCTTCTTACATTCAAGGAGCCGCGGGGGCAGATGGCCCGGTGGTTGGCGCAGTTGCAGGAGTACAACCTGCAAATCGAGTATCGGGCTGGCCGGACGCATGCAAATGCGGACGCCTTGTCGAGGCGACCCACGGTGTACGCCGAGACGAGGGCGGAGGAGGCCTGCCCGTGTTTCACGGGGGACGCTGCCGGCGGGCAACGGACCCCCGAGAGGCCGCGGCCACTGACCCCCCCCCCAGCGAGAGAGAGTGCAGTGTGCGCCACAGAGACCCTCACAGGTGGCACTGAGGATCCCGTCGACCGCCCGGCAAACACGGGACCCGCGGCTCGGGACCCGATCGGACGGATCCAGGAGGACGTCGGCTGCGCCTTCCCGGGCCTAAACGACGAGCAGCTGAGACAGACCCAGCAGCGAGATCTGGATCTGGCGGCGGTGGAGGCGGCACTGCGAGAGAAGAAGGATGCACTACCAGGGCCCTGGAGCGGTTTGTATGCCCGGTTGTGTGTAGAAAACGGGGTGGTGAGGGAACTGGCCGACGCTGGGCAGCCGGGGTGCATCTGCGTTCCCGCCCATGTGCGACCCCAACTACTACGACTGGTACACGACCACCCGCTCGGGGGCCATGATGGGGAACGGCGCACCCGGGAGACTCTGCGTCGCCAGTATCTCTGGCCTAAATTGGCGCAAGATGTGGCCGCCTGGGTGCAGGGCTGCCGGGCCTGTCAGCAGTGTGGGCAAAAGCCGGCGAGGTACCAGGTACCCCTGAGGCCGTTCCGAGTCAGTCGGACGAATCAGTTGGTCGAAATCGACCTGCAGGGGCCCTTTCCACGATCCCACCGGGGCAACCGATATATTCTCGTAGCGGTGGAGTACTTCACCCGCTACCCCGTGGCGGTGGCTATCCCGGATAAAACAGCCCTCGTAGTGGCCCGGGCCTTCGTGGAAAACTACGTACTTAAGTGCGGGATCCCCGAACGAGTCATTACCGACCAGGGTAGTGAATTCGAGGCCGAACTATTTCAGGCGCTGTGCCGAGAGTTCGGGATCCAGAAGGACCGAACCACGGCGTATCACCCCCAGGCGAACGGGATGGTAGAGAGGATGAACCAGACTCTGGCCGGGAAGCTGAAACGCATGGCGGCCGCGAATCAACAGGACTGGGACGAACACCTTCCCTATGCCCTGTTCGCCTACACCACCGCCGTTCACACATCTACAGGACAGACCCCGTTCCTAATAATGTTTGGTCGCGAGTCTCGCCTGCCCGCAGATCTGCTGTTCGGTGTCCTTCCGCCGCAACGGGAGGAAGGGAGCCACCCCGTGGAGCACTTGCTGGAAACCCTGCGAGGGGCCAGGGGCCGAGCCTACCCGCACGGAGAGGCCGCGCACCAGCGGCAAGAGCAGGGCGCCCGACCCCGTATGGAGCCCCCTTTCTACACTGCGGGCTCCGAGGTGTGGCTGTACACTCCCCGCGTCGGTGCCGGACAGGTGGGGAAGCTGACCACCTACTGGCGAGGACCCTGGATTGTGAGACGGCAGATCTCACCATGGACGGTGCTGATTCAGGGAGGAGAGAGGGGCCGGGAGATGGTGGTCAACATCCGCCGACTGAAGCCGTGGCGAGCCGCCCCCGAGGGGGGGAGCCCCGCCGTCCAAGTACCCCAAAACCCCGGGGTCCCCTCACCCCCCGTGCCCGGGGGCCTCGCGCAGTATATGGGCCCCACGGAGCCCCGGGCTCCGAGGGGCCCCGGGCGGGGCCGGGGGCGACGAGGCCGGCGACCCTTAAACCCCACCGCTTCTGAGTTTGTTCCCCAGCCCGAAGGTGCCTGAGGCCGAGGGGAGCCGTTGGAATGGAGGAGGAGACCACCGCCGGAGCCCCAGGAGACGGAGCCGCCACCCCCGAGGCCAGCCACAAGGGCCGGGCGAATCCCGCAGACCCCGCGGCGATACCTCGTTGGGGCAACCCAGGCGAGGTGCTCCAGTCAACCCGGGACGGGGACTGGCACCCCGGGGGGCTATGTGGTGCCACAACGACGGGGCCGCTCTGCCGAGCCAGGGAGCCGCCCGGCTTCCACCACTGCACTGCCCCCCATCACCCCCCCCCCCACATAAGCACGCACCCGCACCCATGTAGGGCCTTGTGGTCGGGTCACCTACCCTGAGTTTTCACCCGAGGGCCCCCTCGGGGGGTTACCCCACGGTTTCTCAGGGCCAGGGAATTGGACAGGACCCTTCCCAGGCTAAGTAACACTGCGGCGCCGTGGGCGGATTTGAGATCGCACGACCACGGCGAGCTCAGAGAGCCCCGCAGTTAGAAACGCATATGGACACAAACACGGGTCGGCAAGGCAGATAGCTAGGATCAGGACCCGGGGCTGGCTGCTGATTAGCCAAAAGGTCAAAGGCCGGCGGGATCGCAAAAGGGCGGGAAATCCTAGGCTCAGGATTGGTCGAGAGACCAAGGCGGTCGGGACGAGGGCGCCTAGCCTTTGATGTGGATAGTTTAAAAGAAAACGCAGGGGCAGTGGGGAACTCTCTTCTTCTGCAGTAGTGAGACGGGGTCAACGACGAGGGAGTCATCGGGCGAGCCGCAGGATCGTCTGCAGGACGACCTGAGCACCGCAAGGTCACCTAGGACTACAGACGGTATCGTATTACGCGCCTTACAACACCTCAGAGCGGAGAGTAGGATCCGTAGGAGAAGGTGAGTTCGGGGTAAGGACGAGTAGGGAAGCGGTGTAACAGAGAGCGCAGCATAGAATAGGGCTGCACGCCACTAGAGAGTGGGTTGGAAGCGCCTTGCTGGCTCGTACACACACACGGGTGGCTCGGTGGGTTAACAAGGGTTAATAAAATCTCGAGCGTAGTAACAAAACCGTGTTGTTGGGTGTTTTTGAACGTGGTATTAGCGTGCACTGCATTCGCGGGTGTGTGGTCGTTGTATGCGTAAAGGCCGTGGTCTCTGTACGATGGTGCGGGTACGGAGGTGTGTGTGTTAACGCCCGGGGAGAGCACTTTTGTGTGTTGGCGTGCCTACGCAGCCGTGTGAGAGGAGAATCGTCCTTGCACGATACTTGTGTTGACGTGCACGCGCGAGTGCGGGAGGGGACGAGTCGTCGTGTCGGCGTGCACCCCGCTCGTGTGTGCGAAACCCCGGTGCGCAGTGAAGCGGTTAGCTTTGTGCTCGTTACGTGCGTAAAGTGCGGCGCGGTGGTGAGTTCCTGACCCCCAGCCCCGCGGCTCGAGCGCGTAATCGGCTGCGCATTGTTGTACGGTTTATCTCGCGCGCACGGCGGCGGCAACTTGAGTCGTTGTGTCGGCGCGTGCCCCGCTTGCGTGTGCTCGTGTGATCCCGTGTTATAAGTGTGAACGCGTGTGGTACGGTGTATGCATAAGCTCTCGTCGTGCGAAATCGGCGTACCCCAGGTGCGCGATTGTAACGTGAGCGGCCAGCGCGGCGCAGAGCGGCGCAAGAGTGAGTGCCGTGCAGAGCTGTGTGTGTGGGTGTGCGCGTACGTAATTAACCATGCCTGCTACGCGGACCCGCGGTGGAGGGGAATCCTCGGGCGACGTCTCCCACACCATGGGTGAGGAACTTAGCAGCGGTTCGCTTAGCAGCGGGGGGGCGATTGATGATGCTAGCCCGGCCGTTAGCATTATCGAGGGAGGGATCTCGGGGGCTAGCGACCCTCACACGTACACTCACCCGTTCACACCACGTCCACTGACGTTACACACAATACGTACACTCACCCGCTCACACCACACTCAATGATGTTACACACAATAAGTACACTCACCCGCTCACACCACACTCACTAACGTCACACACAATACGTACACTCACCCACTCACACCACACTCACTAACATCACACACAATAGTACACTCACCCACTCACACCACACTCACTGCATTACACACAACTAAACGTGCACACTCACCCAAAACCACACTGACTAACATTACACACACAAAGACAAAGATCCCCCGGATAGCTTTACAATTTTGAGGCAAGGGGCCTTAGCCAGCACCGATAAAGGCCGGCACAGCACATGACGGGGTGGGTGGCCAGCACAACGCCCGGCCGCCTTTGTCTCCCAAGTGGCGATGTGTTAACATACCACACCAGGTACTAATTTGAGGCTGAATCGACCTAGTGGAGACCTCGGACTGGCTGAGATAAGCGTCACAGATGATGGCCATGAGCAGGAATCGAACTCGGGTCACCAGCTTCGTGTCGCAGTGCGCTTCCCTGGCACACACACGCAATATGTAGACGCACCCCACTCGCCAAATAAGTTGTCAAATTCCACACAGGTACACAGAACATGCCTCCAATCGGCACGGATTTTCTACGTACGGCGCAGAAGAAGTTCAACATACATACGTACGTTTCATGGTCAAATACTTTGAATTTTCCGCGTTCTTGCTTTACCTCCCCCCCTGCCCCCCCATCGCACCCCCCAACCACAACTGGATTTGACTGTGACATCTTGACAGTTTTGAAGCACCGCGTACAATATCAACAGTGGACTTCGCTGCCCTCTGCTGCCCGCCGCGTAAGCCCTCGTGGCAGCCTATAGCACCTGCCATGCATTGCGGTGGCCCATCCAACCACTGTCCAGACTTAACCCAGCTTAGTTTTCCAGGCAATAGCGAGATTGGACGCTTTCCAGGTGATTTGTTCGTAAGATAAGTTTAGCCATTTTGGGATTTTTACATACTAATAAAATAAATGTAATCCAGGGACACGACACGGATGATGGCGGCACGATTTGCATTTGCAGAGCAGCAGAGGAAATGAAAATGCACACGTGTCCATTGAAACTTTAACAACAGGGGAAGGGACACGGGCTTTGTTGGGAGGGCAGCTAAGGAGAGGCGGGGGGGGTTAGCTCACAATGCCAGTCACTTTAAAATTTCACATTTATTTTGTTTAACCAGGTGGGAACACGAGGGGACCAGGAGTGAGTCTCATTTGCGAGACGTGACCTGGGGCATTATAACCTCCAGTAGGGGGTGATGCTTGCTGCTGTGTGCTCATCGCACCTCCGATTAGCACGGTTGGCTACGTATCGTGCGAAAGAAGTTCAACGTACACACATACATACGTGTGTATACCTCCAATACAGCGATTTGTGGCGTAACTTTAGAACGTGGCCAACTTGTACACTGTCGTCGCCACGAACCTGCTCTTGCGAATGACTCACGAAGCAGACGGTGCGGAGTATTATAATTATTATTTATCACCATTATGGTTATTACAGCCGCAGTATTAATCAGGGTGGCTGCTGGATTCGAACCGCGGACCTCTGCGAACGAGCGTTGCGCCCACGACTCGGGCACGTCGTGCGAGTAGCTACGTTGAGAGAGCACGAGAGAGCCAACATTCCCAAGCACGTGCCACCCCGGCCCGACGTTTGCGTGCCCTACCGGGTGTTCGCAGCGGAGGTGCGAGTATAAATATCTCACGAAGTGAAATACGCGCGTCGCTAATCGGGTGAAGAGAAAATCAGCCGCTCTCTCCTGCGGCCCTTAGAAAAAAATCGCAACGAGGTGCTTTCATCCGTTTGCCTCGGCGAGCGAAAAACGAACGCAATCCTCGTCTGATCTGCGTTTGTAAACCAATCAAAGGCAGCCAAATCCCGAGTGAAAGCGGCTCGCAGCGAGGGGCGTGTTCTATTCATGTCGTCTGGTGGGTTTTTTTTCTTTGGAAAAGAGCGTGGTGTGGAGTAACCGTGGCTTGGGATTTTTTTTATGAGAACTCTACGATTTGGCAGCACGGGTCGAGCAGTCGCGCAGTTTTGCCGCTCGTTTCAACAGGTTTCAGAGTCCGAGCCCAGTGGCGGCCCCGGTTAATACTGCAGTATGTATACAGATACATAAAAAACACTGCAGTATGTATTAACCAGAATAAAAAAAATATACACACACACCGTCTATTTCAGTGTGGACGTTAAAGATCATGTGATGTCATTTGAAGAAGGGTATTAAAATCAAAATCATTATTTAGACCGGTGGAATTCGATGAGCTATGAAGCTCTTTTGAACAAATGTCCAATATGGTCAGTCAGCAAGGGTATTCCTCCAGCCTGAATAAGTCTAACTAAGGATAAATAAACGATTCTGATTCTGGTAGGCCATTGAGTACCGGAGATGTGGTCCAAATTTGACAACAATCTGAAGAATTTCGATTTAAAGCTTTCGTGACGGCAGGGATTCATCTTCTTGGTTCTTTCGGTAAAGTCACATAGAAGGGAAATAATAAAATAATACAAAATTAAACATTATTAAATAATTCTCACGACGTTTCGGCCACAACACAAGCAGCCGTCCTCAGGTGAAGAACAGGTCTGTCGGAAAGACAGCGTCTGAATGAAACACTACCAGGCTTGGAGCGTATATTTAAGCTGGGTTGGAGGGGGAAGAGCGCCTTGACAAAATAATTTGCATATCAAGAGGAATTTTGCATATTTATGGGAAATGCAGATATGGGATTAGTCACTACTTGTGGAATGCGTAGGAGGTGGGCGGGGGGTTTCAAAGTCATATTATGCCCGTGCAATATGCAAGATAATCTGAAGAATTACTAACAAATTTCCTGATTTAGACAAAAGCCATACAGCCACATCGATGGCTGTACGACGATCGCACCATTGCCGAGAGCAACCGTAGCGTGAGGCCATCACGAAGGCGCTGCGTCTCACCGGCGGGCATGCTCCCGCAGTAGCGTCTCAGAAGATGTCGATGTTGCCGCACGTGACTTTAACTTGCGAGCAACTTCTCGAAATTTTCGCTAAACTTGGACCGTGCCGTCGCGACCGCCGGCTGAAGCCGCGGACACAAAGCCCCGTATGAACACACCATGACCTCACTGCCCGCCTTGGCGGACCACAAGCAGGAGGCAAACTCCTCGGGTTACAACAACCCATGAGTTCACGCCTCCCATTTTATAACGCCCAAAATATGCGCCGTTTTATGTTTGTTTTGGTTTGTTTTGTTTTTTCTCCCCTCTCTCTCTCGTATATACGGGGGCGACTTGAAAATGTTTTTTTTAACGTGCCACAACGAGGTGTAGGATTACGGTGACTTTATGGCGGAGGCACGGCACCACAGTTAATTGCCTAAACATCTTGAGGCTCGTGCCGGGCGGTGCGGGCGTTCACCGCATAGCCGTTGCTGCCACGGACGCGCCGAGTGAGCGGCCGTCGCTTATCAGTCACCAGCTGTTTCTTTCGCAATCGGTGACTCGGACGTGGGGGGGAGGGGCGGAGGGGTTGAGGGGGGGGTACATGAGTTCAAACGGGAACTTGATGGACGAAAGTGCTGCCCTCTCTGCTCGTTGCCGCGACACATCTCGCTGCTGCCGCCGATAAGTAACACTTTTTACACATATGTGTTATCCCAATATTATCCTGATTGTGTTATCGGTGTCACGTCCTGTTGACCAGGTCTCCATTCGGAACAGCCCACAGAAGTGGATACCACAGAGCCACCGCCGAGATCATTTCAAGTGACCTTTGACCCACACAGTGGGGGGCAGCACCTCCCTTTCCACTCAACCACTGAGGTTCGTGTTCATCGCACGTCAGTCAAAGCGATATTTTGCTAAGTTCTTAGAGCAAGAATTTTGTCAAATTCAGTGCAGAACGAAATGTTATGTGGTGGGTTTTTACGTGTGTGTGTGTGTGCAGTCACTGGTAAGAGGGCTGAAACCTTCAACTCTCCATACCTGAACACGTGAAACTCTGTTCAATCACAGGCTCCGGCTGGATTCAAACCCAGGGCATTCGCGGTGCTTGGCTCAGTGCTCCGAACTCCGAGCTCAAAGTGATGTTCCTGCTGGCAGACAACGAAAGCCTCGGCATCGCGTTTGAGTGGCACGAGCGGTATCATCGCTCACGCAGGCGCGGCCCGTTCTACTTAACGAGACAACAGGCGCCTTCTCAAAATAGCGGTTTCTTAGCCACCCGCAGGTTCCGCTGTGAACGCGCACGGAACAGCGGGCGGCAACGACAACTGCAAAGAGGGAGTTTCACGAACGCCGCAGGGTAAAAAAAAAAAATGACCGACTTTGAAAAACGCTCCGCAGGTTCGCACTTCGCAAACTTCAATCGCCGAAGATGCACAGCGCGCCTCCTTTATTCGCAAACGCGAGCGGCCGCGTTCGTCTCCTACCGACGCGCTTCAAATAGGGATAGCTGCCGCGCTGTGATCATTAGCGCGCACAGCCACTTGAAGCATTTGATGCTTCGTGCAAAGCCGGCCAAAGAGATCAAAGGGTTTGCCCTGTGATCGCTTTTTTTTTCACCAGGTAAGGCCCCACCGAGCTGTCTAACTCTTTTTCAGAAGCTCAATGAAGTGGCTTATCATGTGGAAATGTATAGCAGCCAAAAACTCTAAATGCATGTTTCTAAATGTGGAGGGCAGAACCGGAGAAAATTCCACACGACCATGGGGAGAAAGTTTCAAACTTCAAATATACAGATATCAGGGTCGGGATCGAACCCACGGCCTCCTGCGTACCAGGTGAGGTAGTTAACATCTCGCCACCGACCTGGTTAGCCGTTAATGTGCTGTAAAGAGGGGCTATTTTCCGAAACCTTGCATGCCTATTATGTTTTCTTTGTAAGACCACAGTTTTACTGACGGATATGTTGAGTTTTTCTTTATTTATTTGTAATCTGGCCATTGCGTGGCTAAGACGGTGACGTCGATATTGCTAATTAACTTCGAAAGCGTTTTAAAATCTATTCAAAAATTGTTTTGAACGTGCGTGCTTTTCAAGCCAAAATTGGTGTCATCAGAGGACATCACTTCAAGTGGCACGAGGACATGTTAATTGAGTGCATAATTTAAATTATCAGAAAATCTAAATATTTTTAAAAGATCCGAAATCATAATAAAAAAATAGTGCAATTAAAAAAAGATGTGATATTCATCCCTCGCATACTCTGACCTCTGAACTCTGAGAGCGTATGTGGGGGAGGGGGGGCATGTAGAGTTCCAAGCACCAGGGTCACACAACCGCCCCCCCCTCCCCCGAGTGAGCGCTCACCAACACCGCGCCAGCTCACTCTGCAGGCTTTGCTCAATAAAAAAATGATTAATTGTCAAAATCACGGAACGGGAATGAGCGCACACCGCGAAAGAATTCGCAACACATTTGGCCGCCAAAAATGCGGTAAATCAAAACGCCTGGCACGACGAGGGTCACCGACCGTAAGCGGCTTGGAATTAACAGAAATAGCGGAGGCTCTGCGTAATTAAATGCCTGGCTCGTGCGGAAAACTGAGAGACGCTAAATGAGAGCTATGGACCTCGCCGGTGGCGGCAGCGGCGGCGGTGGCGGTGGTGGGGGGGGGCAGGTGTATTTACACAACGCCCGGTGATTGAGCGCTCGGTCAACCGTCACCATGGCACCTCGTCCGTTGTTGTTGTTGTTGTTGCGCTCGTGGGATCCACGGACGGTCGGCGCGAGGGGCCGGCTTCCGTTCCGCACCTGTGTCGTCCTCCTGCCGCGCCGCCACCAGCGCCGCTGCGGCAGAGGTCGCAAACGGGTTTTGATTCATCTTCTTGGCTCTTTCGGTAAAGTCACGTAGAATGGAAACAATAAAAATAATAAAATAACACATAATAAAATAATTCTCACGACGTTTCGGCCACAACGCAAGCAGCCGTCATCAGGTGAAGACCAGGTCTGTCGGGGAGACAGCGTCTTACCAGTACCTGTACCCGGCCGCACCAGGGTCGCAAATGGGTACCTGTACCCGTTCCCTACCCGTACCCTACCCGAAATGAGTGACAAACGGTGACTCACCAGTGACTCACGGCCTACCCGTACCCGGCTGCACCAGGGTCGCAAACGGGTACCCGTACCCGCACCCGGTCGGGTACGGATAGCCGGGTATCGGGTAGGGTACGGGTATCGGGTACCTGATTGCGACCTCTGCGCTGCCGGTGCCGAGTGCGTGGCACGACGATGATGCCCCCACTGGGCCCAGTGGAGAAAGGTAGCGGTGATGAGAGGGCAGGGTGGTGGTGGTGGTGTGGTGGTGGTGGTGTGGTGGGGGGGTGCAGAAAACAAAGACGGTGATGCAAATTAGTTTGTGGGTTCGGCTACGTCTTGTTTGTCTTACGCCAGAATTCATTGTCATTAATTATAATAATTTTGGCACGAAACTGCCACGATGGGGTCTGACCAAAAAAACGAATCAGGACCATAGTATTGGCTATGAAAACCTACGTTTCAAGTTGACAAAGATTGTTTTGGACAACAGTGGACTTGGCAGTGCCCGGTTGGGGTATCAGACCGGTAAGTTGCCGGCGATTGACATCTGGTGAGCGGTTTCAGGAGGGTGCCGAGTAACCCCGCCATCGCGTCCGGTGAATGATCTGGTGAGCGGCGAGCGGTGGGCGTGTGGCGGTTTTGCTGGGATCGTGTCTGGTGGGTTTCTCGTGAGTACGACCAGGAGCGGGGTGGGTTGCGTGGTGAGTAATGAGTGTCGAGCGTGCGGCGAGTGTTACAGCCGTGGTTTCCTCTGGTTGTGTCTGGTGGGTTGCCCGCAAAGTGGCGTCACGAGCTCAAGTTTCAAGTTGATTTTGTTTAACGAGGTGAACACTCAAGAGACGAGGACGAGGCTCATCTGCGAGAGTGACCTCGGTCATGAAAAACACGAAATAAAACAACAAAGGGCAGCACAGTCTGTTCAGTGCGTCTGGCGAGTGACACAATCATTGTGACGGCCGCCCTCTGGCTACGAGACACAATCAGATAAGGACAGCTTAAAATAAACAAGTTACATATATAAATGTTTTATTACCAAAGGCTCATTCGCGCACGAGAGCTCCTCCGGTCAGCCGAGGCAGCACCCCAGCTGCTCTGCGGCTGGAGCCCGGCACCTGGAGGTCCCTGCCCCTGGGTCTCCTGCCCCTGGAGGTCCCTGCCCCTGGGTCTCCTGCCCCTGGAGGTCCCTGCCCCTGGGTCTCCTGCCCCTGGAGGTCCCTGCCCCTGGGTCTCCTGCCCACGGGAGGCTCCGCGCGCCACCTGGTGGCTACGGCGAAGGCCGATATCGAAACGCGACACAATGGGAACAATGGACACTGACTTCCGAGAGAATAAAAAAAACCTCTAGATTTGAAACTTTCGTGACTGCAAGGATTCATATTCTTAGGTTTTTTCGTTAAAGTCACGTAGGTAAAAAAATAATAATTAATAAAAGTTAAATAAAAAATAAAATAAAAAATCACGACGTTTCTGAGGCAACACAAGCTTCCGTCTTCAGGTGGAACCGTCACATCACGATTGCTGTATCAAGTAAGAGAAATTCCAAGAAAACAGTCCTTGTATATATACTGGTTGAGGGTGGGAGGAGTCAAGGCAGGCACCTGGATATTATTATTGTGAGGTTCGGTGCGGCTGAAGCACGCTGCTAGGAATTAACCTTTGTTGGGTAGACTGGTTGAACTGGGAGGTTCCAACATTGGGTAATTCCTCGCTTAACGAGTGTTTACAAAACGCGTTTTATCACTCTTACCCTCACCCCGTATCCCTCTCACCTGCTGGAAGAGTGGGAGGCTTCGAGTCAGGCAGTGCGTCATCCATCATCGTTGTTATCATCAGCAGGAATCGTTCTTTTCACGCGGACGGTTGAAGGGTGTGCTTCCATCATCATCATTATCCATAATTCGTGTCTCATCGTTATCTTCATCCATTTATCATACTATATTTGAAAAGGATGCGTTGGCTGTGTAACCTGGGTGGGCTCCTGTCTGAAGTAGTGGCATCACCCGCACCGCACAGCGTTGAGCCGCGTTCGTGCATGAGACACGGCGGAGGGGTACAGAGGAATTGAGAAACAGATAAATAAAAGACAGAGAGAGAACTCGAGATCAGTTGCGATGCACAGCACAGTACAGAGAAGGCAAGAGAAAGGTGGAGACGAATCTCTGTCTAAGAAGAGAGTACTGGAAACGTTGTGATGGCTGGGATGGGATGGTCACGTGTCAACGGTTGCGAGTGTTTATCTACTGTCGATGTGTAAATACATCATAGGCAAGGCGTTTGATGGAGTGTCAGCAGTGGACCGATCACGGCCGATGAATGGTGACGATTGAACGCGGGTGTGACGCCCCTGGCAGGCTGCAGAAGGACCTGAGCACGATACTTCCCATACAAAATGCCAGTCCTCGCGACGAGATTAACGAATCTCAGAGGGGGATTTAAATAGGGGCTGCAGCCACCCGTCTGGACTTTGCATTTTGTGAGCTATCTCACCCCTACCTCTCAACCAAAAATGCATATGTGTATACATACACCAAAGATTGCGCCTCCCCTCAAGAAATCCGATTTGGAAAGACTCACCCACCCACGACTTCCAACACAAATGTCACCTGGACACAAGAATGGGAGTCACTGGACCTTGCAAACTCGTACCCCGTGACTTCCCCCACACAACAGCAGCCCCATGTTCTTGGTTCTTTCGGTAAAGTCACGTAGAATGGAAGTAATAAAATAATAAAAATAAAACATAAAAAAATTATTCTCACGACGTTTCGGCCACAACGCAAGCAGCCGTCCTCAGGTGAAAACCTGGCGACAGACTCTGTCGCCTCGACGGACCTGGTTTTCACCTGAGGACGGCTGCTTGCGTTGTGGCCGAAACGTCGTGAGAATAATTTTATTATGTTTTATTTTTATTATTTTATTACTTCCCTTCTACGTGACTTTACCGAAAGAACCAAGAAGATGAATCCCTGCAGTCACGAAAGCTTTAAAGCAGCCCCATGGTTTCAACCTCTCCAGAAAGGAACAGGGGTTCACCCTAGACATGTTCATGCCTCGCCAACCTCCACCGATTGGGCACAAGAGCAAGTCCTCGCTATGTGTCTGTGGGGGGTAGGAGGAGCAAACCATTGAACCACATCCTCGAAGTCTGCTCAATCCCACAGGCTCAGTGCAGGTCTACTCAAACTCAACACAGCAGGACTGGAAGCAACCGCTCTTGGCTTCGGGACTTTGCATTTCGCGAAGAAAGAATTGTATACACACACAAAGTGCGGCATTGAAAATTCTGGAAGAGAATCTAAGCAGACATTGGCATAGCGAGGCGGCGGACAGAAATGTTGAATCCAAGCGCGGCGGGCTGACGAATTTCGGTCTGCTAGATTTATTACGAAATTTGCAAATACTGCTCTACCAGCACACGTTATCAAACATTAAAATACAGAGCGTGGAGATCGGCGTTGTCAGTTACAAAGTATTCTACCTGCCAATGGGGGGGGGGGGGACGGCACACGTGGTCTTCGCGCGCGGATATGTGCCAACTTTAGAAGAACATCGATGCATAAACACGATCTCGACCAGAAAAACAAATCTCCACAGCTTACGTCGACAGCTGACAGTCGACACGTCGAGTCGACGCACGTAGATGAAGGCGCAGCCCTGCAATCGCTAGCCCACGACACTTCCACGAGAATGACGTGTCCTGCCTACGGAGCTCACGAGTGGTAGTTGGCCTTCTCTCTCCCTCCCTCGCCGAACGCCTCTGGAAGAGGTGGGTGCCGTCTATGGGAGGGGATGTGTGGGGGGGTGCGGTGGCCCCGGGGCAAATCGCACAGAAAGTATTACATCTGATGCCATGACGTGGAAGCGCGGGGGGGGGGGAAGAGACCCCCCCCCCCTAAACCGGGGCCCGGGGCAATCGCCCCGATTTTGCCGTACTCGAGGGACGGCTCCTTGGGTGTACCCACACGTGACATCACGCAACCTGCCGACCCATTTTTAAATCCTTTATATTAAGTTCACTTGCTTGCTTGCGCGCTTACGACCGTGCAAATCTTTCGGTCGTTTTTTATCCCACTTCTCGTGATCCAATCGAGCTGACATTTTGCACACAGACTCGTCGTGCGTGACAATTTATTTTCGTGAAAATTTTTTTTCAACATTTTACACTTTTTAGGGGAAAAAAAATATTATCTTAAATTACCAATTGCTTAATGGTGGCAGGCAATCATCTGACCCATAGGTGGCAGCCATCTCAAGCCAGAGGACGAGATGACTCTAGCCGCCACGCATATAAAGGATTGATAGTGAAAAACTTTGTTTTTACGGGTACATTTTTTACTGCTGGGTGCAACAGATGCAGGTGGGGATGCAAAAAAAAGACAAACAACAAACTCGCGTCATTGTTTTCACTGCCGCGCCGGGAGAACGAAGCTCTGACCGACGACCGCTTTGAGATTTGCAAGTCGGGTGGTGCGAACCGCTCCACCACGGCAGTGAAACCCCCGACGCTCTTGTAAAGTCGACATGAATCACGCTCGTGCGGAATGGCCCAATGAGGCGGGGGGGGGGTCCTACGTGGCTCAGTGACTGCTAATAAAGTTCGCGTGTTTGTGTGTGTATGGGTTGTGTGCGGGTTGTGTGTCGGTTGCGTGTGTGTGGTGTGTGGGTTGTGCGTGGGTTGTGTCTGTATGGGTTGTACGTATGGGTTGTGTAGGTGGGTTGTGTGTGTGTGGGTTGTGTGTGTGGGTTGTGTGTGGGTTGTGTGTGTGTGTTGTGTGTGTGGGTTGTGTGTGTGTGGGTTGTGTATGGGTTGTGTGTGTGTGGGTTGTGTGTGTGGTGTGTGTGGTGTGTGTGTGGGTTGTGTGTGTGTGTGGTGTATGGGTTGTGTATGGGTTGTGTGTGGTGTGTGTGTGGGTTGTGTGTGTGTGGTGTGTGTGTGGGCCGTGTGTGTATGGGTTGTGTGTGTGGTGTGTGTGTGTGGGTTGTGTGTGTGTGTGGTGTGTGTATAGGTTGTCTGTGTGGTGTGTGTGTGGGCCGTGTGTGTGTGGGTTGTGTGTGGTGTGTATGTGTGGTGTGTGGGTTGTGTATGAGTTGTGTGTGTGTGGTGTGTATGGGTTGTGTGTGTGTGGGTTGTGTGTGTGGTGTGTGTGTGAGTTGTGTGTGTGGTGTGTGTGGGTGAGTTGTGTGCGATGGGAGAATAGAGTCAAGTCCAGTCGCGCGACTTGCGTGGGGGGGCAGGGGGTGCCTTGCCCCCCCCACCTCCTGGTGGCCAAAGTTACGAGTTGGGGTCCCCTATACAACACAACCACCGTGAGATGTTTTCCACAACAGTGTCAAAGAACACACCAATTATTTATGACGCGGCTTAATGTTTTATTTTATGAAAATGCCTTCATTTACGTTCCACGTTGTATTTTATTTTAATTAGGAGCAGTGATGTAAAATCGCAGAGGTACGACTACTACGTAGCTGTAGGTGCTGCATTTTTCAGAGACGGAGCGCCCGGACAGCATTAAATGTTCGAGACCCCGAGCACAACAATGCGATTAGGAGCCGCGATATACAAGGGCGAGCTTCAAAAAAACAATGTGAACACTTCTAAGAATTTGCAACAATACCACAAGAAATGTGCATCCTCCGGGCTCTGGAGACCACCTGGAGAAGATTCCAGGCACGCGTTCACAACGATGGCGAACAAGTGGAGGCCATGACTTTTTGAAGCTATTAACATTACATTTGTGTTCATGTTAGTGTATTATCCGTTATTTTTTCAATTGTGTTCACATTTTTTTTAAGCACCCTGTATAATAGCCTAGGTGCGAGACAAATCAAATATTGGGGCCACCCCCTGACCGATTGGCGCACACCCCCCTGAGCTGATAACGTGGTCACGACGCCACTGGTCAAGCCCCTTCAATATGCCCCAGTGCGGGCAATCAGGCTGAACGCGATGCGACGCGGATCTAAATCGCTTGTGTTGCCTTTGTTAAAGTGTGCCAGTGGTTGTGTTTGTTACGTGTACTCCAAAGATTGCTTCTCCGATGTTTTCTGGTTGTTATTGCGTGTTAATCCACGCGACGTCCGACGTTTCGCTGCAACGTACTGCCGGGGGGGGCATTTACTGCGAGTCCTGTTGCTGAACTGAATCCGTTCGGTTCGTTGAAGATGCTCCCAACACGGCAAGCGAAACGTTGGACATCATGCCGATCAAGACGCGGTACACACCCATCAATGCGTCGAGTAGCTGCACAGCCGACCTGCGGGAAAAACTACCCCTACGCAGTAGCACTAATTGCCCGTTTCATTTTTTTTGCCAGACGGTGCGTAAAGATCAGACCCACAAGGCAACTCAAGTGCGGAGTTGGGCCTTCCACTAACGAACGAGTCTGGTTTTGCATGCAGAGGCGTCTCCGTTTACAGGGCGAGTTAAACGCGAAACGTAAAAACTAGCAACACAGAGAAGTTTAAGAAATTACAAAACGATACAGCATGTTTTGCTTAATGGAAAGGAATATGGAACCTTTAACGAGACTATATGTACTTTGGTGATGTTTCTTTTTTGCTTGGTGTAGAAATGTAAATACATTGTAACATACAATAAACCAACGCTTCCATCATAAACCGATAAACCTCCACAGCGATCATGAGGCCAGTGGACGAGAACTTGAAAACAACACGGCACAAACTAAACCCAAATCCTGACCAACGAGCCTACTCGGTTGTGTGGCGACGGGGAAATGAAACACACCTGCAAGATTTCCACCCAACATTTACATCCCTCCAAAAAATAACATTTACATCCGCCCTCGTCCCCATCCACTGCTGGATGAGGGCCTCCTCAACACGCTCCGCCAGTCAAGGGGGAGCTGTTCGACTGTAATTGGTGATGGGGGGCCAGGGTTAGTGTTGGTGACGAAGGTGGGGGGCCCCCGGGGGGTTGGGCGGTGAGGGGTAGATCAGTAATTGTCTCAGATCTCACTCTCCACTGACGCTCTCCACGTGCCGCGAATCAAATTCAGGTTGCTGGGCCCACAGCGCAGTGTGCGTGAACCCACCACGCTGCCACCCCGGAGTGAAACATTTCTCCCCGTCGAATGTTCCCGATAGGAAACGTTTAACTCAATGGGTATAAACAACGCATGGAAACCCCCACAATTGCCCTTCTCCATCCTCAGGCCAGTGGAGTCCTTGCGTACTCTTCACAATCCTCGATCTTTAAACCGGTTTTTTTACTAGGACTGAAATTGTCACACTCCCCCCTACCACCACCCCATGCGGAATGGATAACCAACGCCATCTACCGAGCCGTTTCAGAATCCCCAAGCTTGTGCATCGCTCAACATTTCTAAGCAACAACGCGTGCCCCCCCCCCCCAAGGTGTGAAAATGGAGTGCACCGTCTGTCACGCGGGGGGGGGGGCACATGACCCACTCCAGCACTCGGTGGATTAACGATAGGTAACTAATAATGCATCGATTCTCACGAATAACATGGATTCTTACGCTTGCAACACAAAGCATCAATTCATCATGTGCGTAGGAAAACATTATTTCCGTGTCGCGTATGCGCGTGGCATGCAAATGGTCTCCGCCGGCTTAGGGAAGCCTTCATCCAGCAGTGGATTGACCATGGCTGTTGATAACGATGTGGACTTAAGCAGAGCAAGCGCACTCACTTTTGTCCAGCCAGTACACACTCATCCCTGTCCTTAAAGAGCGCCGTAGTCTTATGTAATGGCCCTTATCTGCGCACTCGGAGGCCAGATGCACGACACGCGCTTGCTGCTTGCCCTGTGTCAATTGCTTGAGAATCCAGATGAATTTAAGGATGTGCAATTGTACACAATGGTCAACAGTTTTGATGTCACTGTGTATATGGCCTTTTAAGAGCCTAGCATTGCACTATGCAAGGGCAACAGTGCCTGGGGCTAAAGGTGTAGTGCTGGAGTGGGAGCTGGTACAGCGGCATATGTCGGCGTGTAGTGTAGCGGGTAGTGTAAGCGGCTGGCGGCGCTGGTGTTGATTCAGTCTCGGTTGCTGGTGTCGTGCCCGCTGGCGCTGGCTGTAGAACTCAACACCTCCTCGAAGTTGCTGCTCGGCTGGCCTTCACCACCTACCTTGGACTGCAAAGCAACAGACGATGAAAGCAATAATTTAAAGAATCACGGACGATGAAAGCAATAATGGTGGCGGCTTACTGGCTCAGAGGTCAAAGCTATTGAGTTGTCAACGCCGAGACTCCTGAGTTCAAATTCTATGAACTATATTTATTTTACCAGGTAGGGCTCACTGAGCTATACAGCTCTTTTCAGAAGTCACCTGGCCACAAATGATAGCTCAACGAAGTGGCTTATCACGTGGACATTTATCTCAGCCAAATACTCTTAAACGCACGCTTCGAAATGTGGAGGGAAAAACCAGAGGACCCGGAGAAAAATCCACATGACCACGGGGAGAACATGCACACTCCAAATATGTAGCAGGCGTCAGGGTCTGGATCGAAACCACAACCACTTGTATACCAGGTGAGGTAGTTAACATCTCGCCACCGTGGCACCCAGTTCAGAACTTGCGATTAAAACCAAGTTCTTATGTGTAGGGAGTTGATGGTCCCAGCCTGGTCTACAATGACCGCAAAAGCACATTAACATCGTTGCTGTCTGAAATTAATGTTGCAAATTTCCAGCTCTGACAATTAACATCTTTGTTTCACTCGCGTCGCAAATATTACTCTTGCGTGCCGAGTGGGCAGGAAAGCGCTTCCCTCTACTACCAGAGGTCACTTCAAGAGATTTCAGAGGTAGCTCGGTGCTGATATGGATTCTCCGTCTCATGATGCGACACTGAAGGCACAATCGGGATAAATCTCGATTTGAAGCTTTCGTGACTGCAGGAATCCATACTCTTTGGTTCTTTCGGTAAGTCACGTAGATAGAAATAAAACAAATAAATCACGACGTTTCGGGCGCAACAGAAGCCATCGTCTTCAGGTGAAAATCTCGACAGCCGCGATGTCTGCTGCCTTGTGAAGAGAAGCTGTTACCAGCAAGAGTTTATATACGTTTTTGAGAACAAAGGTAGCCGAAGTAGTGTTAATGGGGTATTATAGTGTAAAGGTAATAAACAGCGTGGCATGTTAAAGGAAATGAACTTAGATTAGCAAACAGAATCGGGATAAACTTAGTGAGGTTACATTTTTTGTAAGGAAAAAAAACACGACTTGCGACGTGACGCCATTGCCCCAAACACCAATTTCTCCGGGCTACATAACTAAAGTACGACACTTTTGTCGACACTCAGAAGTGGCGAGCCTTCGTCTCGTGACGTGACACCGATAGCAAAGGAAGAAAAAAAAATTTACCCGTAAAAAAAAAGTTTTTCACTATAAATCCTTTATATGCGTGGCGGCTAGAGTCCTCTCGTCCTCTGGCTTGAGATGGCTGCCACCTATGGGTCAGATGATTGCCGGCCACCATTAAGCAATTGGTAATTAAATATAATTTATTTTTTGCTAAAAAGTGTAAAAATTTGGAAAAAAATTTTCACGAAAATAAATTGTCACGCACAACGAGTCTGTGTGCAAAATATCAGCTCGATTGGATCACGGGAAGTGGGTTAAAAAACGACCGAAAGATTTGCACGGTCGTAAGCGCGCAAGCAAGCAAGCAAGCGAACTTAATATAAAAGATTTAAAATAATTGGGAGAAATTATAAAAAGTTGTAATAATCATAACGGTCAAATAATAATAACGGTCAAAAGCATTGCAAGGCACAGCATAGGGTGTTGCCTACAACGCCTTAAGTTTCACCGCTGAAGAACGACAGTGTGTGTCAAGTTGAAATCATTGCTGACAGGATGCAAACGGCAAGCCACTTGTGCGCCCTGCGGCTGTCCACTCCTGTGACGCTACGGAGCTCGAAGTTGCGTCAGCGCGAGCGTGTTCGCCGGGATACCTTCAGGGTGGTGACGGTGTTCTCGACTCGTTCCTCAAATGACTTGAAGCTCGGCGAATTCCTGACAAAAAAATCATCCAAAACCCCATCCCCCACGGACCACGGAGAAAACGAAATATTAATACTTAGCATTCACGACACAGCATGACGCATATCGCATATCTGCCGCATATTAACCCCTCTCGCAAAACCCCGACCACTATTAGTGCAGTCGTAACCTACCCCCACCCCCACCCCGAGGCATTCGCAAATCTGACCTTCTCACACACAGTAATGCTTTCTTAATATCACGTATCGTAAAGAATTCCCCCCTCGTTTAAAGCAGTCTGCGCTATCCCACCAACCTATTTGTGCACACACGATGTAACTGTCATTTCCTACAGGTGTTCACATATCTGACCGTTTCACTTGTGCGGCTATACCTCGGTCTCCATCGAATCGGGAGAGGACGCGCGTGTGTGTGTGTGTGTGACGCTGCCCAACGCTTTACACGTGCGCACAAAAAAACACGCTCGACAGCAAACAGGAGAGGCAGAGGATGTTACACAAATGGCACGAAGATGCCATCGCTTGGAGCGTCACCTTGAAGCCATAACAAACTGTCTGTGCGTGTGGAATGCGATCGTGCGCCGTTGTTAGTTTTGTTATTTGAAATATGGCAGCAAGGCAGGCTTACCTCATGGCAGGCATGCTAATCGAGTGACGGATGGAAGAGTAGCTGTATCCCCAGGAGCGCAGGAGAGAGGCACAGAGAGGCTCAGTGCAAAGAGGCAGGCTTATTAGCGGATCATCGATTAGAAAGGCAAAAGTCGTTTTAACAGAAGCACTTCATTTTCAGTGGCCCCTGTCGTTTTAACAGCACTTAACTCCCACTTGAACGGCCGACTTCACCATGATGTGTTGCATTGCAAATCGCTTTGTTAATAATAATTATCGCCATTATCGCTCAATTCAAAATCGGGAAAATGATGCATTACCAAGCAATTTCTGAGTAACTTTAGAGCACTCTAAGTCCCACCCGGAGCCACTTAAAATGAAACGTAGTCATTATTACTCACACAAGCACCAATAACCACAATTAGATTATACTTGGGGGGGAAAAAAAAGATGTTCAAATCAGTCACCAGTGAGAGTATTCTTGAGATGAGTGAGTCACGAAACAATAATTAGGAACACGGGAAATCACAGTAATAACACCCATGTAGTGAGTTCAACTGAACGATCTGCCCTCAATGTAACAACTCATTACAGTTGCGCTACAACATAATTCGTCAAAATGTACAGCCCCTTCATGAGTCCACGACGAGATGAAGTCCATCCCCACGTCGTGTCGGTCACTCGGGCTGTTTAACCATACTTCACCACGCTGGCTGCTTCAGCTTGGTGAAGGTTGCGGTAACAAGACGGGTTCACGTGCCGCTCGCCACCGACGTTTGCTTATGGTTCATTAATCGAGGCCAGCAAGGAAATCGAGCTCGGATCGCGTGGCTCGAAGTCCAACGCGCAAACCACTGCCCCCGCTCACCGCTCGGCCACCTTCTCCACTCACATCGTTGTGCAAAGAAAGCGACGAATGTTTAAATCGCCCCCTTTCCATTTCAGGCTCCGCGTGAACGCAGCATCGGCCCCTTTCCCATCGCCGAGGCGGTAACGTTTGAACCTTTAAAGCAGGTGCCTTGCCCCTAAACGAGAGCGTGATAATTCACCCATCCGCCGCGACAAACGACCACCCGGCCCATAAGGAAAGAGTACAGTACCTAAAAGAATGTGATCTGCAGACAGCCCAGGCAGGACGGGTCACAGAGAGAGCGAGAGAGCGAGAAAGCAGGGTACAAAGAGTTACAGGGGAAACGAACAATAGCACAAACAATAGCGCACAAAAAACACAAACCACAGCCGACAGGTTGTCCTGCCCGCCCTGACGGAGGGGGGGGGGGGCAGAGGTTTGTGAATACGTTGTGTGATTGCAGGAAAAATAGCGAAGCAGTAGGTGTGACGATACGCGCCCCCCCCCCCCCCCCCCATGCGATTCAAGAATTTGTTTTTCAGATGCGTTTTTCGGGATGTACCGAGCGTTGTTCGGCACTTTGTCTGAAGTTCCGTTCCAGGTGCTGAATTTCTACCGCCAGATGGAATTCAGCTCCTGAGAAAGCTCCCAGTACTTGCAAGCGAAGAGTCAGACTGTTGTGCTACGACCCGAAAACCCAACGGAGAGTTCTGCATGTATGCATGTTGAACTTCTTTCGCACCGTACGTAGCCTACCGTGCGAACACTTGCGCAGTAGGATTCTTAGTGGCCCCTATTACCTGAACGAGTCACGGGAAATCCCTCACATACCAAATATGAGAGTTGAACAAAATGGCTTCTTACACATGCACTTCGCGCGTGCACTGCCAGCTTAAGAATCTATATCAATATATATTAACGCGTGAATCGAGGCATCATTAAACACCACCTGATAAACAGCAAATAAAAACAACAATATGCTGCAATACCTAAGAATGGGTACATGCAGGATAAAGATAGCGGCCAAGCCAAACCGCCATTTGGTTTGGATTTTTCCAAAGCACCTCATCTCATTAGTACTAGGGCGGCCGAAATTGTACAGTCAGTTGAACACATAGGCTTTAGCGACCAATATGTTTCACAATGAAAGGTTTTTGGGTTGGATCATGTAAAGCGAAGCATATATCTACACGATCGTTCGTTTCTCAGTCCGCTTGTCCTGGTGAGGGCCGTGGCTTTAATAAATATTATGAACCAAAACAATGTTTCGATTTAAAGCGTTCGTGACGGCAGGGATTCATCTTCTTGGTTCTTTCGGTAAAGTCACGTAGAAGGGAAATAATAAAATAATAAAAACAAAACATAATAAATTAATTCTCACGACGTTTCGGCCACAACGCAAGCAGCCGTCCTCAGGTGAAGAACAGGTCTGTGGCCGAAACGTCGTGAGAATTATTTTATTATGTTTTATTTTTATTATTTTATTATTTCCCTTCTACGTGACTTTACCAAAAGAACCAAGAAGACCAAAACAATGTTTATTATTCCGTCCCATCGAGATTATCGTGACTCCGTTTTTGATCCCTTCCAAATATTTCGCTTCCCGGATAAAAAAACATCTTACGAAATAACAAACTCGGTAATTAAAAGTTGCAAAATAATAGTATTGCCTACACAACAACAAAAAAACTCACGTTCGTCAATTGTTAATTGTGCACCGCTGCCAATGCAGCGTCACAAAATTATTTGTCTTATGTTACCCAATTAAGTTAGTGATTTGACAACAAGTTTTTTGAGACAATTGACAGGCATTGTATTAAATTTGATTATTTCTTCTTTTCTTATGGAACCAGGAGCACGTGCATTATAAGCATCACAGGTTGTAAAGTCACAATGATGACGGGAGTCGTGGCAGGCTTATGTTAAGCGAACTGCAGTTGTTGGGAGAACATTCGAAGCGATCTTTATTCGCACCAGAAATACAGCAAAAGCACGAAAAAATACGATAACAATGCAGGATTACAAAGTTATCTAAAACTAAGATCGTGAAAATCATCACATGAAATATGATATCGTATCGTGAAATATGATATCGCGGCAATGCTAATGTTTACAATACAAACCGGCTGCGCATGTAAAGCCCTCTTGGGAGGAACGGCTGCCGATGATATGCAACCCCATTTCCCGCTGTACTAAGCCATACTGTCACATAGACGTGAGTGCAGTCCCTTGGCCTCACAGACCCAAGGTAGGACGTGTGGGAGACGTGAAAGAGCTAAAAACACCACCGACGACGCACGAAGACACACCAACACGGCAAACGCAAATATACACTCGCAGAAAAAATTATTCTTCCGACTCTGCACTGCCGCAAGGCAGCGGATCTGCATCACCGCAAACGTAAACACAGAAACCGCATTCACCACGCCGCAGTGCCATCTGCAGCGCGGAGATTCGCCTGCCCATGGGAATAGCATCCCCCCCCTTGCGAGGACACTATTGCTCATTGTGGCACGAAACGGCACGCGCACACGGGGGGGGAGGGGAGGGGGGGGAGGGGGGTGGCAGCAGCAGGTGACATGCAACGCCGAGGGGGGGGCACAGCGAGGGGGCGGGCGGAATTTTGGCGCCGTTCTCACCTCGGCACGAGCAGACGCAGATACAAGTCGCTAAAACACGGCGACAGCCACAGGACAGAGGTTAGGGGGACCCCGTGCCACGGGGTGTCATAGCAGTGGCGTGGCAGTGGGCAGTGCAGGCATCGTCACCACCACGTACGACACGAAAGCTACAGCGGTCCTCCAACAGCCCTTGCAAATGGCCGGGCTAAGCAGAAGCAAAATCAAGCCAACGGATAGGGCTCCAAGCAGCTCAAGAGGCCCCCATAAAGAAACGAATTAACATAAATAGCCAATTTAAATATCTCGGCTCGGTCTTGTCTGCTTCTCCCATCTCACTACACCTGAATTTGTAAACATTTCTCGGAACTCACTACATCTGAATTTTTCGTCTATAGCTCTCCTAATTATCTCGCGAAGATTTTATACATTTAAAAGGAGGTCCTCAAAAGTAAATTTCTGCTGAGGGTTAGGGCTAACACCAGCACTGAAACCTCAGCCCCATTTTCTTAGCTTAACTCAAAACATATATAACGCCAGATAAATGAACGAATGCTGCTGAGATTTCTGAAACCCTTGGGGTCCCTGCATAGCGCAAGGAGGCCACAGCCCTGGGAACGCACTCACTTCATGTCTCCCAACTTGCGTGTGATGGCCGAGCCCACGTTGGACAGCACGGAGGTGGTCTTTTGACCGGCCACCGTCAGCGTCTCCTGGGTCTTCTTGTACCTGCCGAGACACGGTACCAGACAGGGTTGTTGATTTAAATTTTTTTCTATTGTTGCATCAACGATGTTCGCACGCACAACACAATGGGTTTTGGAAATGAGTTATCGGTTCGCCACACTTATTAAACATTTTGCATTTATCATGTAGTGCGGTCGTTTGCATAAACCCTTTGAGTGGAATCTTCCCTTAACTTTGAAAATTCACGGCAGCGTCAATCAACTGCTGGATGAAGGCCTCCACTCACAGTGTTGGTCGTGGAGAGGTTGCGTTTAAAGCGAATTACTGGATTGTGCAACGGTGGAATGCGCGGTTCGTAAATCAGAAAGTTGAGGGCTCGAATCCCGATTGGCGGCCAACGCTCAACCCCTTCAACCACTCCATGGTAGATAAACAATGAGTATTATATTGTACGGAAATCAACAGTGGCTGTTCAATGGTGAAACTCACCCAACCTCCCACCATGAACGTGTAATTTTTACCACTGGCTCAGGGTAGTAAGAAGGAAATTAGCACTGCCCAACACTCATTCCAGCAGGAAACAAGCAGCCAGTTGAAGTGGCACGTGACAAAAACAGAGATAGAAAAGACTCGGGTCGGCCTTGATTGTGTAATGCTATTCAATGTGTGCATATCCTTGTAAGTTGTGTAATTAGTGGTAATAATTTGCTATATTCCCAGCTGCACAACAACACAGGTGACGTCATGCAGCACTTGATTTGCCAAAAATTTGTCCTACACAGTTGGATATGTACTGTTCAACATACATATGACCATATCCTAAAATTTGTCCTACATTGGATAATCTTTACGAGAGTTATCGTACGTAAATTCCAATATGAAAAATCGAATCTCTTCACGTGCATTCGCGCAAACGGCCAAAGGCCTCCCTCGCTCCTGGTTGGCGGTGCCTAGTGGACAAGGGCAGTGGGGGTTAGAGTGGCGAGTGTGGCCGGTGGGGAGGGGGGGGGCGGCACTGACGCGTTGGTGGCCTGCATGTCCTGCCACCCGCGGCTTAGGTTGGTGCGCAGTTCGTTGAGAGGGCTCAGGCCCAGCTTGCGCTTGATCTCAGCCGCGTGCCGCTCCTTGGCCGTTAGCACCTGGCGCAGCGTGGAGATCTCCTCCTCCACCTGCACGCACGCACGCACGTATGAACACACACCCAACCGTGCGATACAGACAGCCACTGCAACCTTGTCTCTATTCGGCACAATTCTCGATTATCCTGGGTAACAGCCGGCGGAAGGGGTGGCCCGGACAAAACAGAAACAAGGATAATGCACAAAAGTGGGTCATCTGTTTTTATTGTTTCTTAAAGCAATTGGTTAACTTGCAGCCACACGGGCAATGGATCACCGAGGAGCAACTTATAATTGTTATCATGAAAATAATTAAACCAGCACAAGTGTAAAGATATCTCAGTTAATATTTGACTTTTCGCAAGCATGTTGTTATCCACAATCCGGATCATCTGTCCATGAATAATGGAGCGAGCTGTATGTACCACACATCTATATATCTAAATCAGCTCAAGACTCCGGTAATCACGTGACTTCTGTGCCGCCACCCCCACTCTCAATTTCTCCCCATCTCCCCGCCGCCCCCGGTGTAGGCGCTGCCCCGCCCTGCAGCGCCAAAGAAAATTGTGTCGCCTCTTCCGCCCTTCCCTCATCTATTCCCGAACCTTTTGGTCCCGTTTTTCTTTTCCCTTTACACTTCTTTTCCTCTTATTTTCCCATCCTTACTCGTTATCTGCTGCCTTTCCTGCTGCTCCTTTATCCGTGTCCAGACATTATATCCGTGAATGTCCTCTGTTTACCGTGGTGTGCAACGGGTTAAAAAGTTGGCAGTCAACACAAAACCCCAACTCCAAGTGCTTTTAATCCAAAACAAATACAAGACACTGCTACGGGGCTACGTTGAGGGCAGCAGAGACCAGTGCGGCCTATTGTTGCACTGTGCTTCCGTGCTCTCACATCTATACCACCTGCCCACCTTCAGAAACTCACACCATGGTCAAACAACTGCACCCCCACCCCCCCATGACCAGCACAGTGCGAGGAGACCCTCATCCAGCAGTGGATTGACAAAAGGTTTTGCCGACATATACTCTCCAAAAACACGGCATCTCGAGGACTGGTTTGACTGGTTTGGAATTTGTTTTGCATTTTTTTTGTTTAAATCTGATCTTTCTGGCTTTTCCATCAATTCAAAGTGAGATCTGCGAGTGCACATTCATGAAAACATTACCAAGTTATTTGTATTGACACACACACACACACACTGCATGAGTTGTGCTGTTATGGAAATAAAACTGTCAGTCGAGTTACTCCGCTGGGACAGCCAGGGCACCATGGTGGTGAGATCTTAACTACCTCACCTGGTATAGAGGTGGATGTAGGTTCAATTCCCGACCCTGACGCCTGCTGTATATTTGGAGTTTGCATGTCTCTCTCCCCGTGGTCGAGTAGATTTTTCTCTGTGCCCTCCGTTTTTTCCTCCACATTTGTAAACTTGGCGTTTAGAGTATTTGGCTGCTATAAATTTCCACGTGTTAAGTCGCTTTGTTGAGCTATCATATGCGGTGGCCAGATTGCTTCTGAAAAAGAGCTATATGGCTGTGGGCCTTACCTGGCAAAAAAATATAGTTAAAGTTTCATACTCTTAGGTTTTTTCGGTAAAGTCACGTAGGTAAAATAATAATAAAAATAAATAAAAATAATAGAAATAAAATAAATGATTTTTTAAAAATGATGTATTTTATTTCTATTATTATTAATATTATTTTATTATTTTTTGCCTACGTGACTTTACCGAAAAAACCTAAGAGTATGAATCCTTGCAGTCACGAAAGCTTCAAACCTAGAAGTTATAGTTTCTGCACAGTGTGGAGATGCAGCGAACGACGAGTCCGCATTGCTTTCACCGCCGTTATAATTGTGACCTTCAGGGTTGCGGTTCTAAAAAAAAATCCCCCATCATATTTAGGGGGTCTTCCAAAAAAAAAACACCTGTCCATTATATGTGGGACATGGTTTATCTGCCCATGTAATTTTGAGCGCCCTAAAATCAAGTAACCCAGAATGCACCCAATCTCATTAGATCTTGGGACTCTAAGCAGGGTTTAGCCTGGATAGTGCGTGGATGGGCAACCGCCAATGTCTGCACAGGATGGGTGCAGTAGGAGGCGTTGTGGAGAGTAGAGAGCAGTGCAGCAATATATTGTTGTTCTGCACTCCTCCCCCACCACATTACCCCATCTACACTGACATGCACTGACCAGCGTGGTGAAATATGATCAAGAATACCTCACGGACTGTAAGCCATGGGTGGGGGAACCCTCATCCAGCAGTGGATTGACAAACTGGCTGTACATGCACACACATGTGTGTCTCGGACACGCTGTGCATCCTGGTGCGGGATTAGACACGTGAAAGAAGGTGTGTGTGTGGGCTCCGAGCGATCGGCCGCCCGTGCCCCCGACCCCCCCTTCTGCCCCCCTAGAGTCGGACGTACCTTGGCCAGTTCCGCCTCCAGCTCTTCCCGCTCCGCACTGCTCACGCTACAAGCGCCGTCCTGCGTGGGCACAGGGTCCACCGCCACCTCCTGCATCGTGTCCGGGTCCAGCAGACCTTCGCACAAAAGACAAAAATGTTCCTCCTTGTTTAGCCTGCAATAACCTCTTTTCCCACTGCACACCCGTGCCGTGCCGAGGGTGTGTCAGAACCAGCCCGGCAAGGCTCAGGTTTGTTTTTCCATCGCAGAAGCAGAGCGTACGTGCCTTAATAGGCTCTTGGTAACCTACAAAAAAAACCTGGACAGGTTCATACGATTTGAGCAAAAAAAAATCTATTATGAATCATAGGGGTCGCGAAAGACTTCGTGTTAAATATAAGTGATATTAAATTATATGAACTCATGCATGTACACCCCTATCACTAACAATGACTATAGCGTTAAACATGTATGATGCGCAATGCATTACGAGGAAACAACAATGCAACAGAGAGATTAACGATATTTTATGTTTGCGTATTACTCCATCAGAAATTAATTATCCCCTGCAAACGATATGCGGTGTGATGTCAGGTCGGTAATTACTAATTAGGCATCTGCACTGGGAAAGCTCTCTTCGCAACTACCCTCATTAAAGCCCGAGCGGTGACGTGTCGCTAGCGGCAGCACATTCACCGCTTACTACAGAGGTCCACAGTTCGATTCCAGCTACCACCCCGACTAATACCGCGTTTGTAATAATAATAATAATGCTGCGTGCTGCCTGCTTCAACAGTGGACGTCAAATATTCCCTGACGCCATTCGCAAGAGCAGAACCGTTGTGCCCCGGACATAATCTAATTCGAAAATGACACCGCATATTACTCAATTGGGATTATACACACAGCAGGAATCATCCTCCCCTACTGGCAGATTAACATCCCAGGTCAATCTTGCAAAGATGACTCATCCTAATCTCTTGAATTTTCATCTGGTTAAGCAGAATAAACTCAACTTAAAGCTCTGCTCTGTTATCGCAAATGGCATTGAACTCGTCTTTTCTCAACCCTGCACACAATCAGGCCATCACTCACTCTCACCAGTGAGTTCGTACGGAAGAATAGCACTCTACTACAGCACGACGCTAAGTGTTCACATCCACACAAGGGCTTCTGGAGATGCGGACTCAATCTCAGCGGAGTTTCTGGGTAAATGAGTAACAGTGGACACTGCTGTTCGCAAAACATTCCAATGTGCGATGCCGTTCACAGCATCCGCTCTGCGGAGTGTCCTCAATCCTGCCGTTTGTGGGTGCGTAGGCCATCCGCAGCGTCCACGCGACGTTCCCACCGCACTCCATGAACGTCATCCACTGGGAGGGTGCGAAACCAGGAGGCTTGCCAGTATGCTGAGCGGTGGCGTACGTGCGTGGGGCCATGGAAACAGGAAAAGTACACCTCTGACTTGATCAGGCAGGCATGCGGGCAATGTGTGCCGAGGCGTAATAATATTATACGTACACAGCTGTAAAGGGGTCTGGCTCGACGTGTAAACACGAGGCAACAATAATATCCCCGGATTACCAACGTTTTCTGGTAGCATTTATGCACGAAGGTAAACTATGGATCAGTTATGACTTGTTGAAGCTTGACCAGTAGTTGGGCCACTTAAACATGCTCCTGGGTTGCCTCGTGTTATAGGTAAGAGCTCTCCATTTGCACAGTGAAACCAGTCGACTACAAGGTATTTGAATTCTAGCAAAACTCATTGTGTCAAGGTAGAGAATTATGCTCTTAGGTTTTTTCGGTAAAGTCACGTAGGCAAAAAATAATAAAAATAAAATAATAATAAATGAAAATAAATCAATTAAATCACGACGTTTCGGAGGCAACACAAGTCTCCGTCTTCAGAGAATTATGGCCAATAGATTACTTCATCATGATCGACTATGAACAATCCACTGCTGGATGAGGTCCTCCTCAAGCTTTCACCATCTATAGTGGTCCTGCGTTGCAACAATCTACTACGCAACTGACTTCATTGCTCCATCTCCATGGCGGACGTCATCCTAGAAGCCTTCCCTCCCTCGGCTCTCATTCCGTCATTATTCTCGACTGTAGTCCATCGTCCCTTTTAGCGGCATGTGCTGCCGAAGCCCGCTAACTCTTCTTAACCATTACAATAAATGTTCATCTTCTTGGTTCTTTCGTTAAAGTCACGTTGTCTTTCCGACAGACCTGTTCATCACCTGAGGACGGCTGCTTGCGTTGTGCCTGAAACGTCGTGAGAATTATGTTATTATGTTTTATTTTTATTATTTTATTATTTCCCTTCTACGTGACTTTACCGAAAAAACTAAGAAGATGAATCCCTGCAGTCACGAAAGCTTTAAATCGAAATACAATAAATATTGTTAACTGCCAGCGATTTTGCTGCTCAAATATATTTCTGAAAAGCACTTGTCGATATAAGACCCATAGACTAATGATGGATGTAAACATTGTTACATTTTTGCACCGAGAGACAGACTATGTTGCTTGGTAATTAGTTAACTGCCTGCAATTATCCGCGCAGTGTCATGTGGCCGCTTTCCGTGTCTACACTGCACGCCCTGTATACCAATTAATATTGGGAGCCAGAAAACCATGGATACGCTCCTGTCAACCAGCCCCACTTAACAGCAGAACGGTTCAAAGACAGAGGCCATGAGCCTGGTGGAACAAGGATGCAGATGTGCTTGCGTAAAGCCACTCATAAATGTTCTTCGCGACGATCAATAACCCAGTGAAAAAGCGCCCCGCTTAAAAGGGTGTCATGCGGTAATGATTGTACACTTTGCCACCTGTTGAAATGTATCCAAACTTTTTTGCAATTGGTTGTTCATAATTATGGAGGAGATCCGGTGGCGCAGTGGATGGTGGGGTGCACGATGAACCCCGACAACCCCAGTTTGATTCGCGGCCACGACTAATATCAGCAGTAAGTGGATATCCAAACTGTGCATAGGCCTCCCTGAAGCAACACGTACTGACCAGCGTGAAGTATGATAAAAAAAAACACTTTCACGACCAACACAGTGAGGTCTCATTTTCTAGCAATGGATTGACAAGGTGGTCTACATTTCTTATCTTTATTATGCATTTACAATAGCTGCTGTGCTGTCGGTGTATTGGCCAGGTGTAATAGTCAGCAAACTGTATTTGAAAACCAGAGATCGCCCGTTTAATCTCCTGGGTACACACCACAGCAAGTCAAGCTGCAGGTTGTGTGTCCAGTGTAGAAGAGTAGGCAGAAATACCCTCTAGCATGTAGCTATCTAGATATCCCTCTAGGAGGCTTTTCAGCCGGCAGTGGCATGATAAAGCAATTTCAGGACTGCACCTTTATCGTTACCTGTTCTTTCATTTCAAATGTGGGTTTGATGACCGTGAAATGCTCACGCCAGAAAATAACTCATTTATTTGCAGGAAGGCTTAGCTAATCCCTCCAACAATAACTGTGTCTGCCCATCAGAATTTCGCACCTCATACAAAGTGACCGGCGGACGTGAGTGACATTCACAATGAATCGCCAAGTCAGCGCATCGCAGTATTCCTCACCATCCTTCCTTCAAGCAGAGGCAACAATACTGGACAGGGCACATTCCTCCCAGTAACAGCAACACCGCTGCCACATTCACGTCAAACCTTTGCACATGGCATAACCTGTCAACCCCTTATCAGTGTCCTACCTTATTACAGACCAATTCAGACCTTATTGGTCACCCTGTGCCCTTATACATCTCAGCGTTCATTCTAAAAAGTCCCATCACAAAGGAGAAACTCAAAGACATCTTTCTTTTGCCTGTACTGAAATGGCTGTATGCCATATGGAACTGAAAACTGTATTTCCCTGTACAAGAATACGGGTAAAGCGTATGGGTTGACAGGTATGACAAGAGGTGCAAAAAAATTAGCTACCACTTCCCCTCTTTCATTTCTGAAAGAGGCCCTCTTCCTGTTTCGATAAAAAAAAATCCGAAAGCCGCCAGGCCAAAAGCTCCGTCGCTTCGCTATTGTTTGTGCTGGAAAATAAATAACAAACAACGCTCAGCTGACCGGCTCCACGCACTCTCGTACGAGTTTGTATGTTTACAGATTTTTTTTAGTTTTATGCCAATACCCGAGGCAACGTTTCAAATGGTTTGCGCTGGCCAACGACAACACTCGAGCGCAGCGAATCCGCCCACTGGCCTGACACGACGGGCTTGAATAATTCATAAAGCACACGCACACTGTCCGAGTTATTTTGGAAATGGAGATTAAGCCACATATGCGGGCATCTACAAACAATAACAAGACGACGGCCATTTGTCACAAAAGGTGGCATATAGCCATCACACCGCACTGCACTCCAACTGGATGTGCAGGAGGTGTAAACTGAACCGTCGTGGCTAAGCCGACTGGAGGGATACTCTAAGGTTTTTTCGGTAAAGTCACGTAGGTAAAAATTAATAAAAGTAAAATAAAAATCACGACGTTTCGGAGGCAACACAAGCTTCCGTCTTCAGCCTCCGAAACGTCGTGATTTTTATTTTACTTTAATTAATTAAAATTTTTACCTACGTGACTTTATCGGAAAAAAAACCTAAGAGTATGAATCCTTGCAGTCACGAAAGCTTCAAATCTACGACTGGAGGGACCCAGGCACTGGGATACAAAGGAGAGGGGCAGGGGGAACTGGACATGGGTGGGTGGGGGAATTTAATTCCATCCACCACGGCCTGCGATTGGAAGCGCCCAGCTGGCTGACCTCGTCACGGTTGAATTTGCCCGAGTGAGACAGACACACATGGGCATCTCTGCTCACAGGAGGTACAGGACTGCTGCTGCTGTTGCTAGTGAGAGCCTTCGGTGGAAAAAACCCGATTTCGGGGAATTAAAACCTGGTATAATGAATACGAGGCTCTGATAGGCTTAGGCTGCTTCCTCGTCGGTGATGCTATCGTACTCGGGACCATCAGGCACGGGCAGAGGTCGCAAACAGGTTTTGATTCCTTACCCGTACCCGGCCGCACCAGGGTCGCAAACGGGTACCCTTACCCGTACACTACCCGATACCCGGCTACCCGTACCCGGCCGGGTATCGGGTAGGGTACAGGTATCGGGTACCCGATTACGACCTATGGGCACGGGGTAGTCGTAGAATGCGGCGGGTAGGTTGGTCTTGATGAACACGAGCTTCTCCACAATCGTGGGCGCCAGTGAGTTCCTTAGCTTGTAATGGATGAAGCCCATCGTTGAGAAGTTGGCGAAGTGCGGTTCTGCAAGATGATCGGGTTTAATATAAAAAGACAATTAAACCCGATTGTAAAAAACCCGACTGTGCCACCCTTGGTGAGAGCAGCTGGGGTGGGATGGACGCTTGGACTCTTTGGCTGATCACTCGCAGTACCGGGGATCCAGTGCCAACCCACGCTTTCAGCCATCCGATGTCCGCACCCCTGCGATTACTAATTCACGTGTTTGCTCACAGTGAACTCTATACCCTTGGCAACAATGAACATCGCTGCCGTCTCGGTACCCGCACTGTACAGGAGCAGCAGCAGCACGAATAAAACCCACAGCAGTGCCCAGCGAGCATCACGGCTCCGCGTGTTTATTCTCGTCTCGGTCACACGGGCGCGTGTCTCCCCACTCGCAGCTGCTCACCAAAGCGACATGGCTCCAAGCCCAGGCAGCCCGCCCTAGGGAGCCAATGTCGGCCGGGAGAGAGAGAGGGGGGGCCTTTCAAACACCCACTGTGGTGAACACTGCGTAATCAGCAGTGTTGATCAGCACGGCCTGGCACCACTCGCCACCAGCGAACAGAAGTAACACAAACAAATAAGCAGACGATACGCCACCTTCACGTGTCTGTCCCTCCACATGGCAAATAAAAGGTGATTTTTTCTTTTTGACACATCACATTGGCCACACGGTCTTCCAGAAGTGCATAAATGCAACAGCGTTGGTTCAACACAAGCAAACTATGGAACGGTTTCGATAATTATTCAGTGTCTTCGTCGGCAGAGTCAGGCTTGCTTGAATCAGTGCAGGTGAAGCTGCCAGATGTTTCAAGGAAGGGACCCTTCTCTGCTAGATATGGATCCTAGTTTGAAGAAAAACTATCGAATACATGTGTGGAGGGACCGATAGTGATGGGAGGCATCGTCCAGAGCCAAATTCATAGGGGCCACCTAAAGGACCCCATCCCCGTATTATCATATTAAGGACTCCGTCAGCGTAACTTCAACTAATAATCCACTTCAGCCATGATCAATCCACTGCTGGATGGCTTCACCAAGCCACCTCACGACCCTGCCATGTAATAACCCCCCGAGCACTGGCACATGAGCAGACTCGATTTCTCCATCTGCGTTCCATTCCTTGGCTCCCACTCATGATAAAATACAAGTTATACAAAAAAAACACACTTGGCTAGCTAAAGCGCTCCACCCCAAAAACGTTATGAGATTACGTGGCTCCATCAGTTGAAGTTGTCCACCAGATGGACTTCTCCACGCCCGAGTGTGTGTCTTCGGCTAAAGTGCTTCAACATGATGGGATTGAGGCCCAGGCCAAGTAGCCAGGGTCCCAGCTCTGGTAGATTTGACAGCACCCAGAGACATTTACAGCCGTGCTCGCGAAAGTCCGTGCGAAAGCAAGCGCTGCAGGTAAAGTGTGCATAAGTCGGAGATGGGATATCCAATTATTTAAGTTATCTTATTCGACTGATGGGATAACTCATATCTGTGTGTCGAGAAGAAGCCCAATCGCAACGCAGCAATTAGTTGAAGCCAGAAAACGAAAAGATCGGATAACCGCACGAAAATAGTTTGGGAATAAAGTTGCCTCTGTTCCCACATGCGGCTGCTGGACGGGAAGTGATGCTTGGTGTCAACATCGGCTTCATCAGCCGGTGGGTCTCGCTTTCAGAAAACAGGATGTTGGGGAAGCTGCCATTGTTAAAGGGGCTCTATTCAAACCGGCACGGCTCGGGAGACGCCAGGTCGTTGTTCGATTGCAGAAGCAGAGCCGTGCCCCGCTCAAGACTCTGCTTGGCTCCAGATTAATGTCTTGCGAGGCCAGGAGTATCACGGTTTAGTTCTGGCCCCGTACTGGCTCGGCTCGATTGTGCCAGTGGAAAAAGGGGGGGGGGGTGTGTAACAATTTCTTAGCCAATTGACTCAATCGACGAACCAGAATATATATTGATATACTGGAGGAATCCGACGAGCTATAAAGCAATTGTTTTCACCACATGTCCAGTAGGGGCAGGTCACAACAACAACAAAATCGCCCCAGATCATCCCACGCTGCTCCCCTCAGTCGCCACGGATACGCGATTGATGTTGGACACTCGTTAACGGGGGGCCGTGGGGACGAGAGCGAGACGGCTCGGGGGGGGAGGGGGAGACGGGGGGGGGAGACGGGGGGGGGAGACGGGGGGGGGGGAGACGGGGGGGGGGGAGACGGGGGGGGGGGAGACGGGGGGGGGGGGAGACGGGGGGGGGAGACGGGGGGGGGAGAGACGGAGGGGGGGGAGACGGGGGGGGGGGGAGACGGAGGGGGGGGAGACGGCGGCGGGAGGGGGGGGGAGACGGGGGGAGGGGAGACGGGGGGGGGCGACGGGGAGAGGGGGGGGCGGGGGGCAGGGGGGGGGTGCGGGGGGCAGGGGGGGGACGGCGGGGGGAGGGGGGAGACGGCGGGGGGAGGGAGACGGGGGGGGAGGGGGGGAGACGGGGGGGAGGGGGGGGAGGGGGGGGAGGGGGGAGGGGGGGGGAGACGGCGGGAGGGGGGGGAGACGGCGGGAGGGGGGGGGGGAGACGGCGGGAGGGGGGGCGAGACGGCGGGAGGGGGGGGCGACGGGGGGGCGACGGGGGGGGGGGGCGGCGGGGGGAGGGGGGAGACTGCGGGGGGGGGGGGGGAGGGGCTCAATAGAGTCACAGGGGACAGAGCCCGTCGGGGGGGGGGGGGGTGGAATAATTACGACGGGAGCTCGGGGAGCAGGGGGGGGGAGAAATGTTCGGGGGGAGCCAACAGGGGGAAGGGGAGCGTGGAGAGAAGGGGGGGCAGAAGAAGCAGGTGACACAAGGGGGAGAGGAATTGGAGCATCCAAAAGACGAGGGAGGGCAATGGAGGAGAATCAGGGGATGTTAAAGTGAGAGTCCCGGGGGGGGGGGGGCAGCGTGGAGAGGCTGGAGAAACAGGACGAACAGCAGCAGCAGCGGGGGGCAGGGGGAGCAGGAGGAACAATGGGGGCGGAGGGAACTGGAAGAGCGTGTGGATCGGGGGGGAGGAACAGGGGGATCAGGAACAGGGGAAGGATCAGCGTGAGCAGGTGGATCAGGGGGAACCAGGAATCACAGGGGGATTTGGGAGAAACAAGAGAGCAGAAGAAGCAGGGGATCAGGAGCAAGGGGGATGAACGGCAGCAGTAGAAGCGGAACAGCCGGTGGAGTGAGGTGGGTAGCAAGGGAACAGGCAGGGAGGGGATGATGCGAGAAGGGGGGCCAGGGGCGCTGGGAGCCATCGGGACCCCCGGGCTCGTCTCGCCGCCTGTACCTTGCTGCACGGCTTCCATGTCGGTGGGAGCCGCCGAAGTTGCGTTGGTCGATCTCGCCTCGCTGCCCGTCTCGTGCCGCCGCCGCCGTCGTCGTCGACGTCGTCCCCTTGCCTGTTTCGTGTCCCCTCCTCCTCCTCTTCGTATCCTCCTCCTCACCACCACCCCCACCACCAAACACCGTGCCCCGGTGACGTCACCGCACGCCACGAGAACAACAGAAACCACCCCCCCCTGCCGTGACGTCACGCCAGAGTAATAACACGGGACATGACGTCACGCCAGAGGAATAATAACATTGGACGTGACGTCACGCGTGTTGGCTGTCACTCTCCCGTGATACTTTGACGCAATATGAGTGGAAAGTTAATTCTAGATTTGAAGCTTTCGTGACTGCAAGGATTCATATTCTTAGGTTTTTTCGGTAAAGTCACGTAGGTAAAACATCAAAATTAAAAAAATAAAATAAAATAAAGATCACGTCGTGATCTTTATTTATTTATTTATTTATTTATTATTAATTTTGATGTTTTACCTACGTGACTTTACCGAAAAAACCTAAGAATATGAGTGGAAAGTTTAGATAACTCGAGGTTAACGGTTTGTTTGGGGTTGTTTTGTTTGTTAAACAAGATAATAAATTCATGGGAAACGTAGAACTCTATAGCGGGTGTGTAGTTTTCTGCGGGCAATCTGCACGAGTAGACGTCGATCGACTCAAAACGTTGGGTTTTACACGGTAAGGTAAAACATAGTTTAGGGGCTGTGCATAAATGACGTCACGCACCTGGGGGGGGGGGGTCAGACATTTGTGACGATGTGTGACGAGGGGGTTTGAGAAATGTGACGTCACATCAAAATGCGCAACTTTAAATAAATATAGACAACACGTTCTACTTAATTAAATAGACTTTTTAATAAATGTTTTCTCCTACAACATCAGAGTGCAGCGCCACATTAAATACGCACTACAATGACAATAGTTTAAGCGATTTGAAGCATTTTTTATTTTCAAAATGGAAATATGGTTTTGGGGGGGGGGGCAGAGCTTTGTGACGTCATATTTGAGAGGGGGGTCTGACTTTTTGTGACGCCACGTGACGAGGGGGGGGTCAAAAATCGTCCAAAATCGTGTGACGTCATTTATGGAAGGCCCCTTTCCTATACTTTGCACTCCTATCGTGTTTTTGTATTTTTGTTGTTGCAACGTTGCTGACCCGCCCCTACTGGACATCTGTGAAAAGTGCTTTGTAGCTCATCGGATTCCTCCAGTGTAAAAACTAAATACTCTTGATTTTTTTTAAAACTGTAGTGACGTCATCGAATTCACGCCAGATGCGTGATGACGCCATAGCAAAACCGGCGAGGTTGTACAGTGACGTCACAACGCGGTTGTACAATGACGTCATTGCGCGGTTGTACGATGACGACATTGCGCGATGACGGAAGCTTGTTAACGGTATGGGGCTGCTCGACCAATCACGACGCGAGGTTGTCGCGGTGACGTCACGCGGCATTGGCGGAAACCTGCAGGGGGCGGACACGTGAGCGACGGAGCGAGGTGTGTTGGTGTTTGTTGTTGTTGTTTGTTGTTATTGTTGTTTTGTTTATTGTTCGCCCGGTGTTTAGTCGTTTCACTCAATATATTAACGGGTCGCTGGTAGACACGGAGCAAGGCGGCGACGAGTTAGTAAGCCACGGCCATCAACAGCGAGAGACGTGTCTCTGGATGTGGTGTGCCGGGTGAGTTCAAGTGTTTATTGATTAGCGGGTTTGCCCGCACTCGGCGCTTGCAAGCTCATGCGTGCTTATATACAGCGTGGTTGTGGTTTGTGCGTGTTTATATTTCACTGAACTACTCGGATGATCGCTGCAAAGTATGATCTGTGATTTGATTTAGTGTGCTGATCTTTAAAGGTGCGTTGCAAAAATGTTGATACTCCGACTGATGCTCCTGCTGCTGTTGTGGAGTGACTCATGCAGCCAGCTATGGCTACAGGGTTTGGTGGTACATGTTGTTTGTGTCGTTTATTGTGAAAGTCGGTCACAGTTCCTATGATCACTGTTACATTGCTTTTATGGCTTTATTTTGGTGATTTCGAAAAGTTTTTTGGTTTGGCCATGTTTGTTTGTTGTAGTACGGAGTTAGACTGATGGCTTTAATCTAAGTTGTCTTGTGGTTGTTGTTGTTTGACTTGCATCCCACTGGGATTTTTGCACACAGCGTTGGTGTACGGTGCTTTTTCTGCAATATTTTGCTGTCTTTCCTTGGATTTTCTGTTTGGGCATAGTCACTTTAAGATGTTTTCTTGTTCATGTTCTCGTTTTTTTTTGTTTGTTGCGGTTGCACCCGATTCAAGAGCCGAATGGCTCACAAGGCTACACCAAATACATGAAACTGAAACGGTGGAATTGCGAGCCACCTTGCTGCACAGTCAGCCGCGATGAGAGTTGGGTTTAGATCAACTCCTCCGTGTCCACACACATCGAGATGCGCTAACACGCGTGTTTGTACGGGGAACAAGGAGAGTTAATGCACGAGTGGGGGGCCCCCGATACAGTTTATTGATTTTATCAACAAAACCCCCGTTTCGATTTAAAGCTTTCGTGACTGCAGGGATTCATATTCTTGGTTCTTTCGGTAAAGTCGTGTAGAAGGGAAATAATAAAATAATAAAAATATAACAATAAAAAGTGGTTCGCACCTGATGATTGCGTGTGTCGCAATCGAAACGTCGTGATAATTTTATTTTAATTATTTTATTTTAATTATTTTACCGACAGAACCAAGAATATAAAAACCTTCGTTATTTTTCCGTAGAGTCCTTTTTTGTATGGAGACGCAGCTGGCCGGTGACAAAGGTCGACGTTGCTTTGCACTCCGCGGAGTTGTTGAGCTTCATGAATGCGATTTGCTGTTTGATCAAAAAAAAGTTTCCCGAGAAAAAAATCCACTCTATATGGGACACAGTTGATGTGTGCCCACGTTATTTCTTGGTCACCTCAGATCAAGGCCGTAGCCATGGAGCCAACATTGGGGGGGACCAAATCTTCCAGGAGATCTGGGGGTCGTCCCCCCCCCCCCACAAAAAAATCTTAAATTTGAAAACGAATTTCCTGCCTAAAATAGAAAAAAAATTCACTAACACATAGGATGGACTTTTTATTTATTTTTAACAATAATGTCTAATAGTGTATTGTATTACATTGAATCTAGATTTTTCTTTTTTACCTTGTCTTGTTCCTATTGTATGCAATGGCAGAGATTAGGGATTAATAAGTACAACCATAACCACAATCATACAAACAGAAATCTATTTTATAGCAATATATTGGGGGGACATTTTGAGCATATTTGAATATTGGGGGGGAGATTACATCCCCTGCCTCAGACAGTCATCATTTCAACTCGTAACAGTGCTGCTGCTCTCGAATAGAGAGAGAGAACTGACTCTGAAGCGCTCGAAGGAATCACAGACAAGCGTGAAGAAGGCGGCAGCCACGCAACGAGCCGGTGTCAATTTCTCCCCAAGCTTTGCGGTCCTCTATGCTGTACTAAGGTGTTATTAAACAATGTATTTGTACGTGCGAGGAAACCGGAGCACCCGTAGATAAACCCAAGCGTGTGGAGCGGGGCAATGCGTCATATGGAGTTAGCATGCGATGTGACGCTAAGTTCTGTCCACTCTTGTCTCGCTATTACACCAGAGATCTTGAGTTCCCATCCATGTATCTCGAGTTTGGAGCAGTGACATGACCGAGTGGTTCGCAGAGGTTCACAGTTCCACAGCTGCCCTGATTAATCGTGAGTATGTATTAACTGTACATACTGCTTCACAGTAGACGTTAAAGATTCCATGACATTTGAAAATGAGTAGGCCACGTGAGCTGGTGCCATGGTCAAAATGTGCCAAATTCCCTGCAAATATTCACCTGGAGAACACATTGAAAAACTGCTGCAGATTGCCTGTGAAAGATAGTATCTTTGTGATAACCTTGCACGAGCAACGCATCTGCGAATAATTTCATTTGGCCTTCGTGTGCAACCGAACTCCACGTCTCCCCATTACAGCGGGTATATCGACAATCGCTTCCGTGTAACACTGAACTCCATTCGTGCCTCCTCGTCATAACCAGGGATCCCGCGGTCACCGCTATGCTATTACTCTAGGCCACATCTGCAGTGCTCCGTGAGGCGCCATGGAGCTGCCGTTGCATTGCTCGCGGCTGCTGCGGGACCTCAACGCACAGCGCAAGAGCGGCCTCTTCTGCGACTGCCAGGTGCTGGTGAGGGAGCAGCGCTTCTCCGCACACAGGTGAAACAGCAGTGCCAGTGACCAAACGAGAATTAACGAGTTACGATCGGCAAGGCAATCGTGGTCGAATAACTCTGGTGACCGACATGACGTGTGGGGAGGTCTGCATGGTGTATACAAGGCAGCAGTGCCTGTCCGCACACAGGAGGGCAGCGCAAAATTGCAGAAGGAGGTATGGATAAAGTGCAGGTAATAGAGCGGGTAAAAGAAACGGGCATGGATGTATAAAACTTATCTATGTTACAGACATATTGGCTGTCAAGAAATATAAGTGACCGTGAGAGAGAGTTCATCACAAGACTGAGAGATCGTAACAACTTGGCGTTGATTCCTTGCAGCAGTGAATTGTTCACGGCTGTGGGTTATGATGAATAATGAGGAATGGGAAGGTGAATAAGAGGAGTTTCATTGCAAATGTCTAAGCTCACAGGACAAGCAACCCTAGTATGTGTGTGTGCAAAGTGAATTAAATCTTCATGACCAAGGAGAGGGGGAAACCCGTTGCTCAGCATTACAAATGTGTGTCTCTGCAACTGCGCGCAGGAATGTGCTCTCTGCCTGCAGCGTGCATTTCCGCACACTCTTCCTCTCGAGTCTTCCTGAGATGTTGGCCAAGTCATGGGACGACACGGGCATCGTCACCGCGACACTTGACAACCTGGCGCCCTCCACCTTCGCTGTCATCCTCGATTTCATGTACACCGCACGGCTCACTCTTACCGGCCTCAACTCGGAGGACGTAATGTCGGCTGCCGGCTTCCTCCAGATGTCGGAGCTCGTCTTCGCCTGCAAGGGCTTCATCGGCAGGCGGCCTGTTTGTTGGCTCACCGTCGGTGGCGGCTACCGACGCCAGCGATAACGTCGCAAAGTCCCCGCAGCCGTCGTCGCACAAAAAGATAGCGTGGAAGGGTGGCGGGCAGCTCGGGTTTCTGAAACACATCAACCTCAAACGAGCTTTTCCCTCGGAGACTTCGGCTCGACGAGGAAACCAAGGCACTGCCTTTGGGGCCAAGCGAGACTGTGAGACGCCGAACAGCAATGGTTCGGTCCCATTGCATATGGCCACGCACGCCAGTCAACTTAACATGATAGTCATCGACATAAAAAACGAGCAGGTCTCTCTGGAAGAGCCACAGCTCCCAGTGGAGACCACCAACGGAGAGGTATGGTCCAGTACCCCCCGTTCTCAACCCGAGAGCCACAGCAGGGCCCAGAGAATCCTGGGCACGAGCAGACGGGGCCCGCGCCCCCAAGCCTCTGCTCGACCCGACACAACAGGCCGGCGCATGAGCCACAGGGACGAGGGCGCTGCCTGCATCCCTGATGATGCTGGTTTTATAATCATGACAGTTCCTCCGGACGGCATCAAACAGGAGCCGGAGGATTGCTCACCTTCAAATGTTGCAACGTTTGAGGTACGGCTTGCAGCTTGTACACGTACATGGAGATACTTTTTACCATTGGCTTAGGATGGCCAATTGGAGATTCGTGCCACCCCATTTGCTTGTTTTAGCAGCGCCACACTGACAGCGGAACTCGTGGAGTGTTTGTGTTAAAGCAACCTATTGCTGGAGTCCTATGCACCCTTGGATTTAACTTTGACATGGGTGAAAATTCATGAAGATCAGATTACAAAATCTGGAAATCAAATTCCAATCGATTCAAACCACTCCTTGTCTGTATAGTGTACATCTAAAGCTATTTGCCTATCCACTGCTGAATGAGGGCCTCCCCATGCCATGTGGGGGGTTATTTGATCAGACACATTTTTTACATTTTACCCATACATTACTCAACTGGAATCCACATAGCAATCATCACCCCTCACTGCAAATACTTGGCAGGACCGTCCTGAAAAAGAGTAATGAGAGTAATACATTACAATAAGTAAAACACTTCGTGCTGGTTGTTACAGGTGGGCAGCGTTGATATGGGAGCATAAAAGTACAGTACAACAATGGACTTTGTTGATGCAATCTTAATTTGGAGCTTTCGTGACTGCAGGAATTACTCTGGTTCTTTCGGTAAAGTCACGTATAAAGATAAAATAATAAATTAAATACTAGCATACGACGTTTCGATTGCAACACAAGCAATCATCATCAGGTATAAATGAAATAGAAACACAAATCTAGTATACTCAGAAATGGAATGTAATACAACAGAGAGTCGGATAACATAACAGTCAACACCCTACCTGGTTGATTACATTCTTCCTGAGAATGCTAAATTTAAGAGAGAGATAAAACACAGAACCAGAGACATATAGACAGACATATAAGCAGACAGATATCACAGAGATACATAGAGAGAGAACAAACATAGGCACACAAAGAAAGCCACGTCTCTGTGTCGAGGCCCTTAAATATATGCAGTGATGCACTGCGTTCTTCTGGCCCTCCCATGCAGTCAGAGCTTGTGGCATCGTGTTTTACACTAGTGGATGCCCATTTTGGTCCTCAGTGCAGATTGTCCACATTTTAAATGTTATGTTTGGTATGAATGAACCAAATTGATTTCCACTGGCAGGGTGACGAGTGGGAGAGCATGGACAGCTCGATGGAGCAGCTCTCTCCAGGTCGGTGAATTATTTTACTGAGCACATTTTTTTTTCAAAGCGTGTCGCTCATGAATACTTCACTGAGCTGTCGGGAGATTTAAAGTCGCGTGCATGTTTTCCTGGTACAGTACAACCACGGGAGTCTTCTCATAATCCATTGTTTGACTCATTGATGAAGACGAGACAGCCACCGCTTCCTAGGCTGGGAAGACGTGTACAGAACGACTTGCACAGTAGCAAATGTCATCAATTTGGTTTAAGATAAGATTTGTCGTACTTACCAGTGAATGTGAGAATTACGACATTGTGTGTCGTAAAATTTCGAGATTTTATGAGTAATCAGGACCACTTGTGATTAGATTGTTGCTGCTGCTGATAATAACATTACGTAATAAATGACAAATAATTGGTAACATTAATAGCATTCTCTCATGATCGGTCTAGCATCCTATGTGTTAAAACTAATCCAACAAATTCAAAACGCCGCTGCCTTTATAATCTTTAATCTGCCCTTCCAATCTCACATCACCCCTCCTCATTGAGCCATGCTGGCTCCCTGTTTATTATCGTTACCTCTTTAAATGTCTTACCTTAGTTTATAAATCTCTCCATGGCCTGGCTCCTCCGTACCTCTCTTCGCCCATCTTACTTTACTTTATCGTGCCTGCTCTCTGTCTTCTAAATCTTTGCTGTCTCCTATTCCTCCTCCTCCGTACGTACAGTCTCGGTTTCGCTCATTCTCTCTCCTAGGCCCTCTTCACTGGAATAAATTGCCCTTACCCCGCAAAAAAACACCCACTCTCACTACCTTCCGCTCCTCTCTTAAGAGACCCACTTATTTCCTCTTCCCATCCTTCCTTCTCACCCTGTTGTCCTCCCCACTCGTACTAACGTCTTCCCCGTCCCCAACTCCCCATGGTCACCCAACATCAATCCACTCATTTAATTTCTATTTTTGTTTATTCCAGGTATCGTCACCACCACCTAATTTTACATATCCGATCCACTCATCTCGTTTCATCTCGCCCACCATCTTGTATCATAGTTCACTGTTTAGTGCCTTGGTTATACTGGTAGGAACCTCCTGGTTACACCAGCCCACAAGGGATTATTGTGTCCGTCGTGCAGGGATGGGCTGGGTGGGGAGGGGAGGGTGGGGCTGGGTGGGGATGGTGGGGCTGGGTGGGGAGGGGCTGGGTGGGGCTGGGTGGGAGGGGTGGGGCTGGGTGGGAGGGGTGGGGAGGGGCTGGTCACCTCGTAGTGCCCTTATAAAACTCAACGTTTAACCTACTCGCCGGCTTGTGCCCGCCCTCACAGTCGGGAATATTTGCGGAATACACCACGCTGCCGTTGACCCTGGCCATTGATCGAGCAACCCAACGTTACTACCAGCTCCCTCCGCAGGAATGTGTTATAACCTATGATAAGATAAGATAAACATACCTCAGCCAGAGCAATGATGGCATGCCGGCCATGTTGCATTCAAGGTTGGTTGTCTTCCTGGCAGGCGATTGGTTCATGTAATGGGAGTTATCATGCCTTCACGACAGAGCTGCGACCTCTCTACGACTCCCATATTTACTTTGTCTTGCAATCCATTCTCTCTTACGACATTTAGAACCGTGCCACAACCGTAGCCTACCGGACTTAAGAAGACGAAAGTTTCGCGCCGGCAATTCGGCACGAGAGGCCCACGTCTTCCTTGGCCCCCAGGACTTGGCAAGGAACCTGCAGTCGGAAGAGAGCGCCCTTTTTACCAAGTGCAGCGGCGATGATTTGTGGGACGCCGGGGAGCAGGGCGCACGTTCGACGGCCGGAGGATATCCTGGCTGCCGACCAAGGGACGGCTCTGCCTGGGAGCAGCCGGCCGACCTTGCTGCTGCCGGCGAGAAGTGGGCCGGCGGGATGGCGCTCTTCCCGTGCAAGCACTGCCCGGTGCGCTTCACTGCAAAGGAGAACCTGGTGCGGCACCAGCGCACGGTGCACGCCGGGCAGAAGCTCAAGTTCTGCGAGGCGTGCCAGCGCAACTTCCGCGACAGCACTGACCTGCAGCGCCACCGTCTCTCCAAGCACTGGTGGCAGGGCCGCGACGGCACGTGCCCGTTCTGCCCCGAACGTTTCCGAGTGTCGAGAGAGCTGCTCAAGCACATCCATCACCGTCACAGAGGCCTGGCTGCGTTCTGACTCGGCAACGCTGCCACCATCCCCCCCCCCAATAACACGTTTCCAGGCAATGGCCCTCCATATTTCTCTACTATTAAGAGCATTGCCCAACAAAAAAAAAACAATTCTTATATATTCCTCCTGACGGCAGGATTAGTGACGATTTGTGTTGAGGTTTTGTTTTATAATATGTAGATTAGTTTTAGTTTGAGCCCACTGTTAATCGACTGTTGGATGAGAGCCTCCTGACACTGTGTCTACCATAGTGGGGTTGTATGACCATAAATCAGCAAGTTGATTAGTGTAGGTTGATATAGGTCCGGTTAAGATATCGCTTGCCACTGGTGTTAGCCGTTGCCTGGTATCGAACTCATTTTGCCGAATTCACTGCACAGTGCGTTAATTACCACTGCACTCAACATGTAGATGGTAGAATATAAATATCAAACGGTAAGGTATTATTTGCATACTCTTTGGTTCTTTCGGTAAAGTCACTTAGGTATAAAATTAAATTAAAATAAATCACGACGTTTCAGGCGCAACACAAGTGTCCGTCATCAGGTGGGAAAGCATGGTCTGCTGCTGAGGCAGACTTTTAAAATGTTTGAAATGGGTGTAGCCCAAGGGTCATAAAGAAGTGGCCGGGGCTAGTGATGTTAATGTGAGATATTAGCATGTAACTGTAAGATAGGAAAGCGGCCTCCTAGACGAGGGCACTGAAGTGGCTATGTTAATGTGAGCGATTAGCATGATGTTAATGTGAGAAATTAGAGGGCACGGAAGTGGCTATGTTAATGTGAGAGATTAGCATGATGTTAATGTGAGAAATTAGAGGGCACGGAAGTGGCTATGTTAATGTGAGCGATTAGCATGATGTTAATGTGAGAAATTAGAGGGCACGGAAGTGGCTATGTTAATGTGAGAGATTAGCATGATGTTAATGTGAGAAATTAGCATGTCACTAGAAAAGAAGGGTGAACGTGAGAGATCTAAGAGAGCGGTATAGAGAGAGACAGAGAGTCGGAAATAACAGCTGACATAGGCAGGTAGGATGGAAACATCACAGTCGGTTAAGAATTTACCTGGTTAATAACGTCCTTCCAATGATTGCTCAGTTTGTACCCATCCTCTCGGTTGAAGTTGTGTCTGTGTTAATATATCTGGATAGCTTCATGAACAAATCTTTGAAGGTAGCCGGTAGGTTTGCAGAGTACCTCCGTCTTGGAAGAATCAATTTTGTGTGAGCCCACAGTGTTAAAACAATGATCGGCAACGGCAGAGGTATTGGTCTTACCGTGTTTCAGATCTGCCTTGTGTTCACAAACGCGGTCCGAGACATGTTTCGTTTCCCCAATGTTACTGCTGCCGCAACCACAACTCAGTTTGTAGACACCAGGGTATTGTAGGGGCCACGTCTTTATTACACACACACACCACCCTAACTACTGTACACCAACTTCTCGTACAGTCTATCTCCTGTATTTCTTCCACTCAGCCTATCATTCGCCGCCTACGTAGCGTGCCTACTCCGGCTACGCTCCAGGTCCTCCGGCTATGATACCCTATGGGAGGCTGTCTGACCTGACCCAGCCAAGGTACAGGTCCAACCACTGGTTCCTCAGACCAGGCCCTTATAAGGACAGTAGGCAAGGGAGTCCCAGGGTCCACCACTGGCCTCACAGAGGCCCGGCCCTTAAAAGGACGGCAGGAGCTAGAGGTCCAGGGTTCTACACTAGCAGGTCTTCAACTGCCACGAACCTCTCCAGAGGTCCGCCTTATATACCTTTCTCAGTCGAGGGGCGGGGCTCTGAGGGATCGTAGAACACCCCACAGCCCCCACCCGTTGGGAGGGGATGCGGGGGATCACATCATCCCCCACAGCCCCCAACCGCTTCTGGGCTGTCTGCTGTTGCAGGAAAGTGCATCCGCAGCCCCCCAGCCGTTAGGAGTGTTTGCGAGGGATCGTAGAACACTCCACAGCCCCCAACCGTTGGGAGGGGCTGTGGGGGATCCCAGAATCCCCCGCAGCCCCCAACCGCTTCTGGGCTGTCTGCCGTTGCAGGAAAGTGCAGCCCACCTATGGCGCTACACATGTCAGAATTCACATCCTTTACAGATGGGATCTAAAACAGTCTGCCTCAGTAGCAGGCCATGCTTTCCCACCTGATGACGGACGCTTGTGTTGCGCCCGAAACGTCGTGATTTATTTTATTTTATGACTTTGCCGAAAGAACCAAAGAGTATGGATTCCTGCAGTCACGAAAGCTTCAAATCAAGTATTATTTGCATGTTTTGGTTTCACCCGAGCCTGTAGTGTAGTTGATTATATTATTTGACAAGAAAGACATGCATACGCACGGATTCAAGCGTCGCGCTTGACACGTGATTCCATCGCCTTAACTGGCGAGGTGAATCCTGTCGGTGCTGCCTTCGTTATCGGCAAGCTTCGGGTAACACAGGTCTATTTAGCTGTCTTTGTCTTGGGTGAATTCCTAATGGAAATACAACTTTCTACAAATATTCTGTTCATATTGGATCCGCCCCTGTTGCCACCCTGCCTCCCCTGTCGCCAACGGACGTAGCTCCTAGGGCAGCGGTCGGGAACCTATGGCTCGCGAGCCATATATGGCTCTTCCGATGACGGCATATGGCTCCCAGAAAATTTTGAGTTGAAAAAAATAAAAATAAAATCAGTTTGGAACTGATTTTAAAATACTTGTGATATTGCTTAATACTACTGTGTCATTTTCAAGTAAACAGAAATTAGTTTTGAAGATAAAATTTCTCGGGTCACGGGTCCCGTGACCAGAAGTCACATTAAAAGTAAGACATTTAATTTATTATACGTTAAAAATACTATATGGCTCTCAATGAAATATATTTAGAAATATTTGGCTTTATGGCTCTCCCAGTCAAAAAGGTTCCCGACCCCTGTCCTAGGGCAATGCTTTTAACACCTGGTTGAAAAGCGCTGCAACTGGATAAAATGAATCTACGGCAATGAATTATACATTATGTTAATGTAGAAGGAAGCCAATCAGCGTCAAGGGGTGGCCGAATATGGGCTTTTTCGATCCACAAATCATTTCTTTAGATCCAAAAATCATGTGTCGCTTTCGATCCTTAAATCATGTGTTAGGAATCACTTTAACGATTACAAGAAATTGTATTCAAAATATCAATACATGGGGCGATGTGTTCGATCATGGATCAAGCTTCGTATCGTAAAAAAATCGGTCTATTCCCGTGTAATCAAGCATTGGCTTGTTAAAAACACGTCCTGTCCCGTTCCGGTATTACTTGTTTGGCAAAAGTCCCGCCCAATTTCCCCATATATGGGCCTAAATCATTAATATAATTTATCATTAATTCTCTCGCGGATTCATTGCATGCTGTTACAGCGCTGCAAATGGCAATGCAATGCGCTCAACCCTTGCAAGGGACACTAGAGGGCGCATTGTTACCCACCGCCCGCTTCGCTGCGCGCACAGTGAGAGGGCCTCGTGTAAGCGCCCCCGTACCCGCGTGTATATATCCGTGGCTATGCGTCTATTCGCTGTCTAATCGCACCACTTCCAAAATGCGCCGCTCGTGATGCGTTGAGTTGGTTCACGAGGCAGTGAGCAGTCGAGAGGCTGAATCAGCACTGCCGAGTTCCTGGGTTTGAATCCGGGTTTCAGCCACCGGTGATTAAACCGTGTTCCCAAAGTGTAGAGAGACGGTGGTATCATTGCAGTTAGCAATGGCTGTATGCATTGGTAACTAATGCTAAGTTTTGGATTTTTGCAGCTGTCTTCATTTCAATGGTTTGATCCCCATCTGCCAACAGTAACTCCTCGGTACACATTCTGCTATGTTTCCCTGTGGTCTCCCCCCTGGAAGTCGTCTCCTATTATTTTCCAGCCAACTTGTGCATGACCTTTGTTTTGCTCATAATGTATTTATCCTGAGCTCAACTTTGCAACTTTAATTTGTTTAAATGTCTCCTTTGAGGTCACTCTCATAGACAGTTCTAATGACTGTCCTGCTGTAAGCGAGTCTGAAACGGGTTAATATTTTATAAGAATATGTATGCCTTAATTTTTCCAATGACTTTTTTGGAAAACATCTTTTACCGTGGCTGTGCATAACTTTTGCGAATATGCCTCAACTCGCCCAGCCCCATTTAAGCGTGCGTCCCATTACATAGTGCGATCTCAATGTGGCCGTTCCATTTTTGTAAATGCATTTCATTGCTCTTCAATATATTTTATTTAGGCCTCGGGTTTATAAGAGCTTGGATGACCGCATCCATTTACAGTGAGTTGAATGCCTTTCCATAGACCACAAAAGTTGGGCGAAATGGTATTCGAAATGCATCGGTCTTTTCTCGAAGCCGATATTTAGTACTGTATGTATGTAGGAGCCAAGAGAACAAAATATTACTTTGATAATAATTGAGATTTGCAATGCTCTGCACAGTATTTGTTCGCTCTCGAAGGGAATGACTCCAGAGGGGTGAGTAGGTAGCCACAGACGAGTGGGAAACACAGCAGCCAGCACAGGGGACGTCACTCAAAGGGACGATGGCTGATGGTCGACAATGGCGATGGAGTGGCAGCCAGAGTAAACGCGCCAGAGAGGGTCGACAGTGGAGTTGGGGCCATGAATTCGGCCTATCCAGCAGTGGATAGGTCATGGCTGGTGATGATTAGAGCTCTGGAAATTAAGTGATTCATTCATAAGAGGTGGGTTGACCCTCGGTCGAGGTAGTTCTGTGATTTCGTTGGACGCTAGGTGGTGCTCCACTCACTGCCAACAGACTCGATTTAAATGTCCTCTGACTGGATACCTCGAGCACAATTGTGATTGGTGGAAAATGGGGCACAACATGGAAAAGGCTCTCTGCTGTTGTCAACAGCTTGCCAAGCACATGAATGACCTTTATCATTTGTTTTGTTTAGCAATTTATAAATATGCCTCGTTTGCTTTCTCGGGATCAAATAAATATGTTATACAGCTTGCATTTTGGTATTTTAATAAAACCTGCATTATAAATATCTTATTTTCCGTGGCCGAGTGTCCAATCTCAATGGTACTTGTTCCGACATGACATCGCACCGTCAGTTTGCGATGAGGAAGGACCATTGGCAATAAAAATGTGTTTTCCCTCTCGGGCCATAGTGTTATTGACAAATGCGTTGTAGGGTGTTTTGTTGTTGTTGTTGTCTGAATGCTTAGAGGTCACTTAGTCTGCTAACAGTAATTTATAACGCCTCGGCAGCGGCGTTCAACGACAATAACCAGCGATTAAATTCACTGTCCACACGTCGCAATCCCCCCGGGGGGGGCGCATCGTGTAAAGCGGAGAAATTAATTGGCAATGACATCCAGACAGTTCACCTTATATTTCTTAATTAGACATGCAAAGTGAGCACTTGGCGTGGTGAAGGCTGTAAACGCCCCCCCCCCCATCTCAGCATCGGCTCAGCGGGGGGGCTAGAGCGGGATGAGCCCCCTCCCGCATCCCCCGCCGCTAAATTCGCAGTTGAGTCGAAAAATGTTTGACAGAATATTTTACACCAGTGGCGGTTTTGCCCAGAGTTTGTGCACAGATGGCACTGGATCTGCCACGATGCCCTTTCAGATTGTGCAAGCTTCACGCGATGATACGGACAGCAATTCGGTACTGTAGTCGGATGGGTGTACGGTGCGAAAGAAGTTCATAGTGTACGCACAAGTGGGGGGGGGGGGGGGTTCGTGAGAGCCGCGGCAGAATGCGTTGATGAGGCCGTTTAAAGTTGTTTGCTCTAACATTGTGTCGAGTTCGTTGTATGCGCCGAGAAACAAGATCACGCTGTGGGTTTGGCTCGCAGTCGGACGAGGAGCCCAGGGTTTCGGAGAATGGGAGACTGCCTCGGGGCGGTGGACGGGTCGCGGCGGGGGGTGGGGGTTGTACGAGCTTGAGATATTTGTCAGTGCGTTGGTAACGCCGGGGACTGGTGAGCGTGTGAAATCCAGCACGCAGCACGACCCGAAACCCACCCAAATGCCGTAAAGCGCACAGGTGGCCCCAGGGACTTGTAATTCGACACGCGGCACAGACAAAGCCATTATATAGCTACGTCGCGGGGCAGTGTAACAACACAAGGTTGTACTTCTGTGCCGAGTGGGTATGCGGTGTCAGGGAAAACCAAAGAGACTCTTCCCTCTATGATTTACAGGCTTCCCATGAATACACCTCACCATGAAAACACTCGTGAATTGCCCGGGTACTTTTTTTTTACAGACTCGTTGATTAAATCGAGGCGGAAATTATTTGGGAAATTAACCGGTTTCCCAGGCGCGTTTCATTCCGGAAGAGGGAACGCACAAATGGCCACTTGTGTTTCTCAACTGACGATAGTTTAACTTGATCCATAATACAGGTCGCGATCTAAAAAACCTGTATTATGGATAATATTTGTCGTGTGTTAAACCAGTTTAACTTGGGTCTGTCCGGGTTGGCGACCAGTCTATCTTCGTACCCGGGAACTATTCCGTGATAAATAACAGCCCAGGTCAATGCACAGGTGTAACACTTACTTGGAGGCCTGGTTAACCTGTAATGAATGGGGATTTAAGAAAAAAGGATTTACCGGGGCATCCTACCCCCGGATTATCCCGGATTTTTGAGGACTATGTGCTGAACCTTAACTAACAACAACACCGCCACTAGGGGCATGAGAAACACATGGCTTCGACGTGATTTCCCTCATATGTACCCACGGATTCATTTCAGCCAAAGTCTGTCCGGGTTGGTGACCCAGAAAAAAAATGTCAGCTCCTGGCATGCCACATCCAGTATCAAGATGTCATCAACTACCAAAGCCACTAATGCCACCACACCTCGCCACAGCGTTTATACCCTCTGCGAGATCCCACGTTCCCACAGTCGATACTCGGCGTTCAAGGATCTGCCCTGATGGTCCTCCACCGTCGTGACCTTAGGTCATCCCTTGGGTCACCAGACTCGTGGAGGCCACTCCATTGCGCGTGTCAGCAACGGGCCCTCCTTCATCGTGCAAACGCGTGTCCTACCCAGCGCAACCGTTTGTGTTTTTTCAATCAAATATCTACAACACTCACCACATGCCGCGTTCTACACTGGCCCTTAGGCATTGATTATCCCACCTTGCCACGAAATTCCCAGCATCCGTTCTCAGACACCTTTACCCAAAATGCCAGCGACTTATGTTTCAAGCCGCTTAAATTAGTGTCCTGCTATCCTGATCCGCGCGGCAGCATTGCACCCAGTCCACCTCGTGTCGTCGGACCCCCTCCTCCCTCCCCCGAGGCGCAACTCCAAGTCTCAGCAGCGGCGACCCGGAAAATTATTCGGCGAGAAATCAAAGCCCTGAGCCGACCCCCGTGGAAAGGTTTTCACAGCAGGTTTCATCGCAGCAGCAGCAGCAGCGGCAGCAGCAGTGGCAGCCGCGACATCAGCAGAAGCATCGGTCCCGTGGCCCCATTACCGCTTTACGGATAAATCCATCAGGAGCTGGCTGGATTTGGGGGGCGAGGGGGGTGTGTGGTGGGGGGCCATGGCGACCTACTCTTTTTGTCCCCGCCGCTCAATCCTCTGACCTTGTTTTTTGGCGGGAATGCAGCTGGCTGCTGTTGGGGGGGGGGGGGTGCATGGCTGGGTTGTGGTGGTGGTGGGGTGACATTTTCCGATGGTCGTTTGTCTTGCAGCTCTTGGTGGTGGGGCTTTTTTTTTTCACCACACAAGCTCTCGCTCCAGAAATTCCAAAACCCAGACACGTTGTATAGTACTCGTAGCAGTAATGCAATGATGATGATAATGATGATTGGCATGTTAACCTGTCACCAGCCCAGGACAAAAAGGTCTGCCCGAGTAGACATGAAACGTGAGGCAAACGTTCAATGGTGACTAAGAACGTCACCATTCCGAATGCCGGCTGATGTTATGGACAATTAACCCAACAGCTGCCAAAATACGGGCGGACCCAGTAAACATGGAACGTTGGGCCGTCGTTGGTTCAACGGTTTCAACCATGTGCCAATGTTGAGCCAACATTGTTACCTGGGGAGAGTGTTACTAATGTGGGCAGGAGGCATGGCAACTCGAAACTCCCACAACCTTCCTTGGGTTCCCATACAAATGGGAGAAATCATGATCATTGTTATCCATGATCAATCCACTGCTGGATAATGGCTTCCCCTTCCAAGCTATTACCATCTCTATCCTTCTCCCACGAGAAGCAATTTGTTCAAATAAAAATATCCCCATTGTATTCAGCAAAACTTGAGTGACATGTATGTATGTTGGACTTCTTTCGCAACTTACGTAGCCAACCGTGCCAATCCGCGGTGGGGGGGGGGGGCGGAAGGACAACAACACTAAAGAGTTCCAAAGAAATTAGTTTTGAATCTAGATTTAACATTCACATTCTCATAACATTTTCCAAAGTGTTATTAGGTCACATTGGCCACTGCGGGCATTGTTTTATGGAGACAATAATTTGGTGATGCTGCGGTTCGGATCGTTGTTGGCCTAACCTTGGTCCAAGGTTCCACGTCTGCTGGACGGTAACACAATCACGTTTTACGTGTTTGGAGGTACATACATTTAGATTTGAAGTTTTCGTGGCTTGCAGGGATCCATACTCTTTGGTTCTTTCGGTAAAGTCACGTAGGTATAGCAAGAAACAATTGCTGAAGTAGCAATTGTTTCTTGCTGTGGTTGTCCTACTTGATGACGGACGCTTGTGTTGCGCCCGAAACGTCGTGATTTAATGTATATTATACCTACGTGACTTTACCGAAAGAACCAAAGAGTAAGTACATAAATTGCCCAAAAACGTCGCATATTTCATATAATTCGTTTAAGGCCACAATGCTATTGATGAATGTGCTGAGTTTGTGTTGACCGTGATTGGATAGAATCTGTCACATGTAGCGTGTTTTGATTTGACACGCACTCAATTGCCCCACCATATCTTGCCACTTGCATCTTTCTATGTCGCCTTCTCGCCCTCTCAATCTTTGCGGTCTCTCTCTCTCTCTGTTCTTCCTCCTCCTCCTTGTGCTCAATCAAAGCTTTCGCGCTCTCTCTCACTTCTCGCCCCCCATTTCACTGGAACAAACTTCCCTCTGCACATTAGGCAGTCACCTTCACTCGCTAATTTCCACTCCGCACTCAAAACTCACACTCATTGTTCCCGAGCTCACCCCACGACCCCTTTAATCTCGCCCTCATAACCGCCACCGTCACTGTTTCCTCTTCATAATCTCATCATACGGCTCTCACTCATTCCCAATTCATTCAATCCATTCATCACTGATTTCACGCATCGCGTCCTCTCGTCTATTTCATTCATCTCATCGCCACCGTTACATTCACGCGACCTGGCGCTTTATGAATTCCGTGAAGATAAGATTGGGTCCTAGAGGCCTTGCGAGCAACAGCAAAAAAAACATCTCAGCCATTCTCGATCCACCGATAGATGGAGGCCTCCCCACGCCACGTCAGTTGTTGTTGTCATACTTCACCACACTGGTCACGGCGGGTCGGTGGAGATGGGGGAGGTGGAAGCCACCACCGGTTCTTGTATCATTGGCCACTGACGTTAGCCGTGGGCAGGAGTCGAACGGGGGTCGTCTCGTTCGCAGTGCAGGGCACTAAACGCTGTAGCCACCGTTTCCGTCGCCACATTTATTCATTCGATTAGCACGGTGGGCTACGTACGGTGCGAAAGAAGTTCATATATATACAGTATAGGACTCATACATGTTATCTTCTTCACAAATAGAATGCACGTTTGAAAGGAAGTGTGCGTTCATCACCATCCTAAGGATACATCTTTTCCAATAACTGAATTCTTTTGAATAGGCTTCACAATAAACGAATTGAACAAGAATAACGAATTCGTTTACTGAGCCCCTTGACTGGCAGCCTACGCAGTGGGTCAACCGTGCACAAGCACTGTCCAGGCACACACCCTGCTTAGCTTCTGCGACCTGATGGGACCATTGGACACGGATCCCAGGTTGGTTTGGTCACGGGCCAC